TTTTTAAAGGTGAATCTTCGCAAGTTTTAAATGGTCTTTAAAAAAAACATCAGTTGCCAAATCATGGTCTCTTAATAATAAGATCACGCTATTAACAGAACATTATTATTATTATTATTATTATTGATTTAAATGATGAGGAAAAAACAATTATTAAAATTAAAGTAATGACCCATAAACCTGTCAAAAGTGATGTTTCATAAAAAAATAAAATAAAAAAGCAAATTCTCAGAGATGTAAAACAAATATTTAAGTGTTGTTAACTGGGAACAAGGTTAAATTTGTGGTTAATGCTTACATTTGTGTAGGTAATTTCTGGACACCCGTGGCTGCTCAACATGCTGAGTTAACAAATATCAAAACAGATTATTTTATTATTATTTTTAGTAGTAGTAATAAGAATACCAACAACAACAATAACAACAGTAATAATAGTAATAATCACCATCATGCCAACCGTGTGGTACATTAAACCGTCCGCCTGCAGACACAGCTGTGATTTGGTAATTGGTGCCAACTTCCATTCTGTCTTAGCAACATAGACTCACGTCAGACGAAGGCACGGCTTAACTTCAGCCTTCTGTTTCCTATTGTTCTAGTTTAGGCTGCTCGTGCTTGGGAACCCTCAGAGGACTAGGTGCACACTTTATGGCATGGCTCCACCTAAAATGGAACTGATGTTTTATAAATAATTTCAAAGTTACAAACATCAGCCTCACAATCACAGCGTTTCAATGATATTCATTTGGCATAAGTCAGTTTCATTCCTGCGCGCCTTTCATCAGAAATGGCTCAAAAAGTGGCGTCGGCTTGAATCTTTCATGGCCCGGCCTTGGCTGGGGACGGTGGCCATGTTTTTCACTTGCACACATCTGACAGTGCATGGCAGCAGAAACAACAAAATGGTCACAAACCCCACTGCACTCGCACTGCGGGGTCACACGGGCCCTTTAAAAATTCAAAGAGCAACTAGCAGCAAACCAAACAGTTGATAACAGTCGGTGGAAGGTGATAAAGGAAGATACTCCAGGTACATTAGACTTTCCCCCCAAACTCTGCTCTCTCTGACATTAAATCCTGTCTGTTTAGGCTGAAGATTACACATTAAAGTGTGAAGCATCATTCGGGATTACTCTCTGGGATTTTACTTTAAGGATTACTATATTTAAGTGTTGCCTTGTGGCAGAATAGGGAGAATATGAGGCAAATTCACACTTCTATAATTATTCATCAGTACAACATGTCATTATCTGCATTCATGTTTTTTTTCCTCTTGTATTTTGTAAATTGGATAGCTCAGCTGATCAGTGCAGACATCATGGCTGATTCCCCCTGAGGAGTTATGGTATGATTTCCATAGGAGTGTGTTAATTATCATGTTGTCAATGCCCTGTGATATAGAAACAACTGACAGTGACTGAAAGAATTGAGTATAAAAATAACACCACGACAATGTGTGTGTTTCATGATGGAAAAGTAGTTGGTGTAAACACCAAAATGTTGTCTTAATGATTCCTTGTTATGTTGTCGTGTTAAAGTGTGTTTAAATAATAGGAATGTAAAAGACCGATCTAACTGTGAATGTAAGCGAACAGTGAAATGTGGTCTTTACAGTCATTTAAAGGTTTCTATTTTCTTCCTTTTCTGTATACAGAAGAATGCAGAAAGCTGGAATTGTACTCACTTTCACTGCGCCGTACAAAGGGGCACATGTATAAATATTTGTTTTAGGTAAACAGTCCCTTCAGGGTGTGGTGCGGCACCACTTGTACATCCACTCAGCGTCATGATCACCTGTCCTGAGGTTAATTTGTTGTGAGCTTTGTGGTAAAGATGTCACGGCTGGGTCTGCTCTGGCTGGGCCACCCTTAAAGGCCATCAATAATGAGCAGGTGTAGGAGAGCACTTCTGCGTAGACGCGTGTCTCTGTGTGTCCAGGGAGGGCGGCTAATAAGGCTTTAAAAGCCACAACTGTCCACTCCGCCCCTTAGCAGGCCTCCAGCTGTCTTCTCTGTCAGAGAGCACCCCGAGTCCCCGTGACAGAGCGGATCACTCGTGGCAGCAAACCACAGGGGGCTACAGTTATGTTAGCACAGCACAAGGCAGCAGCAAACTTGACCAGATTAGCCCGGCGTGGTAATTAAGGACTTAGCGGTGGTAAACAGAGGTATTGTCTTCACCCTGCTTTGAATCTCAGAGCCGAGACAACGGGAGAGAACACAGTACCTTGATTTATTGATGTAAATAGTGATGTGACGTCTGGCAAACAACATATAAATAAGTTAAAGGCCATCTTAAATGCATCCCCATGAAATTTTTAGCGCCGCTGTAATATAAGCCACTACCTGTCATGAATCCCAAATAACCTTGGCTCCATCCTGATGTTGCTTCAGCCCAGTGTGCATCATTCCTTATTACTGGCCTGACAAGAAAATGTTTACCCATCCGACAAGAGACGAGTCATTTCATAGTCAGAAAAAGCAATTTCACCTGACTGGAGTGGCACACCATGTCCTCGTATCCTTGCTAGCCGTAATTTTGTTGTCATCTGTGTGCTGTGATCATATCATTGAAGAGACAGTGCTGGGCATTAGGTAAAGTCCCTGAGCTGGTGCTCACTTTCAGGCTTTTTCTCTCCTTGTCATTCACTTTGATTAGATTAGACCCATGGGTCGGCAGTGGATTCCGACAACGCCTTGTTAAAAAAGTGAAGCAGTGCCGAAGAAAACATTATTTTTTTAACTGTTCATATTAAATGTATTGTACAACATTGGGTGGCATTAGAAATACAGTATTTAAAGCAGTGTTTCTTAAAGGCTGAAGCGACGGCGGGGTACATGTGATACATGTGTGATACATGTGTCACCAATAGTTTTCCAGGGTGGGGGGGCGGCATGGGTGGGGGTCTATTTCCATGAGATTTCTGATACATGTGTCACCAATAGTTTTCCACAAACAACTCAGTTGAAATATATTGGTTAAATACTTAAACCTAACAAAAAGAAAAAGTGTAGTTGGTGTCAAACGCCGGCCCGTGGCCCACATCTGGCCCATGAGTGGCCTGTTTTTGAACCGCAGGTTGAACACAAATGAGGTTTTTATTCCATCTTGTGAAGAAAAGATAAAGTTGTATTTTTTAAAATTTGTTTATCAAGCAAAATGTTTAAAAAGTTACATTTGAGGGTTGAAATTGGAACTATGAAATTAAAGGTACATTCTGTAAGAAAAAACAAATTTGTTTTCCTCATTTATATAGTCCAAATGCAATGTTCAAATTTGCTATTAATTTTAAATGTAAATTATTAGTTCATTCTGCTTGGCCAGATATGGTGTAATAAGAGATATTAAACCTCTTCTTCCAACATAAGACTATATTATTCACACAACACGTTCATGTTGTAAAAGGGCTTTGGGAATAGATGATCTCTGTGTTGCTGTGGTCAGAATCCATATCTGTTTATACATCATGTTGTGTATAAGAACCGTGGGAGTTCAGTTCACACGAATGTACATCCAGCTCAGCTGGTCACCCGTGATCCTGTGTGGCACAAAGCGAGGCAGAGGGTGGCGAGCCTGACTACACCACACCACCCCCCGGGGGCCAAGGCTGGCACTGGGCATAAGATGTCAACCCCGGCTCCCTCATGGTTTTCTCCACTGGCTGGAATAACCAGCCATAAAAATAGGAATTTGTCTAATGACCAGGAGCCGGTCCACTCAGGAGAACACACTGAGCTGCTGCAGGGGTGATTCAAAAATTGGTTTCCTTCAGTGGGGAAAATGAAGTTGGAAGTGAACCATAATCCTGTAATGAGCCGAGCAGAGAGTGACCTCTTTGCTCGGGCACAGACAAGTCTGTGCTTGTACGTTTCACAGGAATAGATTGCCGGGCCCTTAGCCCTACTGTAATGACCTCTCTTGTTAGCTTCAGAGATTCACGGTTGTTCATTAGCCGTGCAGGCGGGTGGATGCACCCTCCAGTGACTGGTCTCTGTATTAACCTGGTCAGATTTGTCAATGCACAATTTATTTATTTATTTAAATCCATATCCAGACGCGGACAAAATGACTACACACACAATAATCAATTTTAAAAAACAAACAAACAAACATATCTCTCTACATGTCTCAGCAGCGCCCCCTCCTTTTGTTAAATAATTCTCATCTAGTCCCCAATGTCAACACTGTTACTACAGCTTTAGTTTTGACACTTCAACAAATTTTATTTTAAAACACAATAATTTTTTTTTACAAAAGTGAGGGAAGTACAATTACAAAATACTGCACTTCCGCAGCTGTATTTATTCAGACAAATACACAGAAAATGCTGAAATTGAAATGGTTTCCTTAGCAACAGCTCAGTGCCCGCCTTGGGGGGTCTGCCCCCCACTTTGGGAACCGCTGTCTTTTTTTAATTTCTTTTTTATGATTTTGCATTTAAACATGCAAGTCTGAGGTTTTGTCATAGAAGCGTTGTGAGGATGATGTTCTTTGGGTTGTATGTCGCTCCAAGCTCAACATTTCTGTGGCCACTTCATCAGTTATGCCTGATGTGGTTTCAGTATGTGAGTTTGTTCGTAAGATGTCCTTTCAACAGATTTGTTTTCTTGGTCACAGCTCATTTTCTCTGCAGTTCTTTTTAACCTAAAGACACTTGTAGTAAAATGAGTATTACTTTTAGTTATAAATATGAAATGATTCATATGAATGTCAGAACATTTATCTTCAGCTCTGGACACACTGCATGAATCAGTTCTCAGCAATTTGAGAAAATTAAAATATATTGTGCAATTTAATAAAAAAGTATGTTTACAGGATCGCAGGCATATACAATAAAACCTGACCCTGGAGCAGCAGGATGTTAACTTGGTAATTACCCTGTTACTGTACTAACAAGGTTGGTCTTATGTCATACAAGGTGTTTCAATTCAAAGAAAGTGCAGACTGTGTCTTTGAACTGGAGCTGAGTCACTACTTTAACTTCTACCATATAAAATAAACAACTTTCTTTATTCTGGTTTCTGTTGCCAACTGCTTTGAAGGTGCTTTGAAAAGTAATTAAAATAACTACTCAGTTTAAAATTATTCTTAGTTTTGAAAAATAAATATTCTGCAATCTGGTGTCATCAGAAATATTTGTTGTTGAAAATGTGAACAAAAATCCACAGTTTTTGCCTTTGTTTTGCTTCTTACTCTGATCAACATTTCAGCAGGTCATTAACTGGAGTTTCCACCTTTGCTGTTTGCTCATTTTACCCAAACTTTATAACAAAACTTCACACAATCCTACTTGGCTGACCTTTAAAATCCTCACCTAAAATTTTCCCTGACACTTTTAGCATTTGTTTCAGACAAAATTAAAAAAAAACTATGAGAAAGCTAAAATACAGATTTTGGTTTATTTATGTTTATTTTAAGAAGGTAAGTTGGTATACCTCCTTTAAAAAAGTATTTCATTTCTGTAATTTACACCTTGAATATTTGTGTCCAATCGAAAAAGAAATTAAAAATGTGATTTTTTAATTTCTTTTTTTTTCTTGATTGAAAACAATTAAAAGCGACTCCTTTAGACCCTCTCATCTCCTCAGTGCTGTCTGGCAGCCGTAAGTCGAGTATACAGTACTATGTGACCGCTGATATTACTGTGGTACATGAAATATTTAGCAGCACTGGGACTCCACATAAACACATCTTCAGTGGAACGCCATGGTTTCACGCCATATCACAAACATTTTAGGGCATCAAATGCACCGCCTGTCGTGGACTGTCATTTTTGGCGTGTTAATAATAAATCCGGTCTCTGCCGCAGACATACTTTGGCACTCACCGCCCATTAATAGGTAAATACGGCGGATAAATAGGTAAATAACGCAACCGATGTCGCTGAGAATACTCCACAATAATAGTAGTAGTATTCTGGAGAACACACCTTTGTTGTTGATTGTTTTCTGTTATTTCTGTCCCGGTGTGTGAAGTAAATCAGAAACCCACATGCTGTAATCAAATAAAGGCCCGTGTCACACCACATATACATCACTTTTTGCGCACAGCCCTTCTCAGATTGTTCTAATTAAGAGCCGTCTAATTAAATTACAACCTCGAGTTAACCAATGGCAGCACTTGTTTCATTAGCAGCAGGCAGAGTGATGGGAGGAAAATCCTTCCTGATTGCAGCCTGGTGTCAATTGGCTAATTTGCTGCCTTTGGAACCTCAAGTCATCGCCAGGCGTTTTCATAGTGTTACATTAGGAAAGGCGCGCGCAAAAGCCCGTGCTATAGGTTGAGCTAATAGTGGCGTCCTGTCGAGATATGCAGGTGGAGAATTGCATCTCGCCGGCGGCTGATCTCTCCAAGAAATTTATGAATGTGGGCAGTGGCTTTTCGAGCTCCGATGGATCAGAGCTGGCTCTGCAGGACCATCCTATTATATCTGCAAGTGACAACCTGGAGAGAAGTTCACCTCTGAAAAAAAACTCCAGGGAGATGACGAATCAGTCAGAGGCAGACAATTTTCCCGACTCCAAGGACGCGTCAGGGGACGTCCAGAGGGGCAAACTCTCTCCTGGTCTACACGGAGTCACTGACATCCGTCACAATTTCGATGTATCTGCAGGAGAAAGGTGCATCTTTTCTCCGTCCACGCAACCGCAGCCAGTCTCAGCGACTCCCAGTGCCATGTTTCCCTACCCGAGCCAGCACGGACCGGCGCACCCGGCTTTTTCCATCGGAAGTCCCAGCCGCTACATGGCCCATCATCCGGTCATCACGAATGGAGCTTACAACAGTCTGCTGACCAACACTTCCCCTCAAGGCTACCCGACCGCGGGCTACCCTTACGCACAGCAGTACGGACACACGTACCAGGGAGGCGCTTTTTACCAGTTCTCCTCCGCGCAGGCAGGACTGGTTCCAGGGAAGGCGCAGGTTTATCTGTGCAACAGGGCCCTGTGGCTGAAGTTCCACAGACACCAGACTGAGATGATCATCACCAAACAAGGAAGGTGAGAGGCTCATTTACCCAGCATTCGTTCATCCATCAATAGAACAGAAATCTAACACCAGAGCATTAAAGGTTTTTTTTTTTTTTTTTTTTTACAGTCCTAGAAAAAAACAAACACAAATGAAGTCGATATTAATAACCGGACTTTTTAATTCCAGTGTCTTTTCTTACTGATTTGACTTGTTTTTTATTTTTCTCAGGCGGATGTTTCCATTTTTGAGCTTTAACATCTCTGGCCTTGATCCAACTGCGCACTACAACATTTTTGTGGACGTAATTCTCGCTGATCCAAACCACTGGCGCTTCCAGGGAGGCAAATGGGTGCCGTGTGGGAAAGCAGACACAAATGTAGTAGGTAGGACGATGTTTTATTTATCACAATTGTTTGGGCAATTAAAGCGAATTACACTTATTTATTTAAAATCTATTTATTTCTTTGTTTTTTTGTATGAAAAGACTGAATAGAAACGAAAATTCGTGGTAAAACAAAAAATCTCAAATGATCAAAGTTGAGTTTCTTTTCTTTATTTTTTTTTTAATGTTTCATAGGAAACAGGGTTTACATGCACCCGGACTCTCCAAACACGGGTGCGCACTGGATGCGTCAGGAAATATCATTTGGGAAACTGAAGCTGACAAACAACAAAGGCGCCTCGAACAACACAGGACAGGTAATGGGAAGAAAGCACTCACTTCAATGGTTAATTTGATTTTAATTTTTTTTTTTTTTGAGTTAGAAATAATTTTTTGAGCGCAACAAATGATTTTTAGACTGGAGTCTGCAGTGATTTTCTTCTCCACCTCCAGATGGTTGTTCTCCAGTCTCTCCATAAATACCAGCCCAGGCTCCATGTGGTGGAAGTAAACGAGGACGGGACAGAGGACAGCAGCCAACCAGGCAGAGTCCAGACTTTCACCTTCACAGAGACGCAGTTCGTCGCCGTCACCGCGTATCAGAACACGGACGTACGAACAGATTCGATTTTTATTACCCCCCTCCCCGCCTCCTCACATCAATATCCATAATTTATTCACATTTTCACTTTAAGAAAATTATCAAACAAATTCCTTTCATCTTTTTTATTTCCATAATTTATATTTGCAAATTTATAATTAGCGAAAATATATCAAACAAATCAAAGAAGTTCAGATTTAAATAATAAAATAAACTAAAGAAAGTCACACACAATAAAAATGATAATTCTGCCATTTGTCTTTTGTTAATTTTTTTTTCCCATTATGCACAGATTACACAGCTGAAAATCGACCACAATCCGTTTGCCAAAGGATTTCGAGACAACTATGACACGTAAGATTATAACTTTTCATATAAATATATATTTTTATTAATTACAATTCTGCATTCTAATGTTTTTACCGTTTGTGTGTGTATTTAGTTTATTTAGACGATTTTTTTTTTACCAGAAATTGTGATTTTCTGATCTGGTAACCGGAAATATCGAGAGCAACATTTTTGTTAAATGCATTTCAATAAATCTATATTTATTAAAACTGAATGAAGAAACCAGGGTAAATAAATAGAATGAATATATTTGACGGACAATAAAGTGTTCTTAAAGTGTCATAAAATTATCTGACAGTAAAAAAACAAACAAACAAAAAACTACAGCATTAAATAAATACTCTTGATTATGTGTTTTTTTGGGGGGGTTGATTTTTGTATTTTTTTTTTTTTCAAGCCATGAATGATCCAAAAGTTTGAATTTACTCTGACAGATTGACAATTTGAAAAATCCAGGGGAACTGAGGCAGAGTTGGAATCGATATTAATGCACTTTTTTTTTCTCCCTCATTTTTGTTTTCGCGTGTGGCGGTCAGTCGAGTGTCTGAACTGTGTTCTGTTTTCGCCCCTTCTTCTTCAGTGTCTACACAGGCTGCGACATCGACCGCCTCACTCCATCACCGGGTGACTCTCCGCGTTCACAGATCGTGCCTGGTGCCAGATATGCCATGCACAGCTCTTTACTGCAGGACCAATTTGTCAGCACTTATGCCAAGTCTCGCTTTCACCCTGGCGTGGGGAGCGCTCCTGGCACGGAGCGCAGCGTCCCACTCGGCAACAGCTTGCTGTCCCCGCAGCAAAGCGAGGAGCCCACTGTTGCCACCCCCCCGCAGCGATGGTTTGTCACCCCTGCCAACAACCGACTGGACTTTGCAGCCTCGGCATACGACGCAGCGGATTTCGCCGGTAACGCCGCCACCTTGCTCTCCTACGCAGCGGCCGGAGTGAAGGCGCTCCCCCTGTCGACCGCTGGCTGCTCCCAGCGGCCTCTGGGCTATTACGCGGACCCGTCAGGCTGGGGAGGACGCACTCCGCCGCAGTACTGTGGCGTCAACAGCAAACCCAGCTCGGTCTTTTCCTGCTGGCCCTCCAACTCTATCGGAGCGAGGGCCTGCACCAACTACCTGACGGAGGAAGGTGACTCCATCCCCACGGAGAGGTCGCCCATCGCCGCCACGGAGGAGGCCAAACCGAAGGACCTGACCTCCGAGTCGAGTTGGATAGAGACGCCGTCCTCCATCAAATCCATCGACTCCAGCGATTCTGGAATCTTTGAGCAGGCCAAGAGGAGGAGAATCTCACCTTCTGCCACGCCGGTTCCAGAGACAGTGTCTCCGCTAAAGTCTGAGCTGCTGGCGCCAAGGGAGTGTGAGAAGAACTGCACAAAAGACATTGGATATTATAGTTTCTACCCTCACAGTTAAATAAATACTCCAAAAAACAAAACAAAAATCTATCTATCTATCTCTCTATCTATCTATCTAACTATCTATCTATCCATCCATCCTACAACCATCATCTAAATACAACATTAATTATTGCCACCTCCTAAAAATGGCCAAAGTGTACATTTCTCCACCCTCCACCGTCCAGGCCTGGATTCTCTGGGTCAGACTCTGACTTTTTCCCCCTTGTAAATATCAACACATTGTGCATACGGTATAATACGGGACTTTTGGTGGTAGTGATTGGATGTCCACACGGGGTAGATGACGTCTAATCCTAGTGTTTGAAAAGAAAACAACGCCTCATCTCTTGTTAAAGTAGCCTTTAACTGTTAGATTAAAACATGTAAATGATAATATTGAGGACTATGTACAGTAGGACGTTCGTGTGTAGCATACACTGGCAAAATAACCCACTGTCAGTGACGAAACAGTGTATTTTGTACCTGACGAAGGGGCAACCAAAAGATTATGACGTCACGGAGGTCACTGCTACATCCGTACCAGATAGATGTAGGTAAAACTGTTATAAATGTTGTTACTGTATAGACATGGGTTCTGATTTATATTTTATTTATTTATCCTCGACTGAGTTGTTCATTTCAGAACGTTATTTTTCATATAGCTATGCTGTCGTGCAACTTCCTGTATCTGCTGTAACGTGATTGAAACGAAATAAACGATGCTATCGTCCGTGATGTTTTATTCAATGACCTCCTTTAAAATTACTGTTTTCTTTTTTAAATTATTAAATATATCATACATTTAAAAAGAAAAAAAATCACGTGAGAAATTATTACGTAATTACGAGAATAAAATACAACAATAATATAAATATGTATAATATTAAAATTCCAAATGGTTAAGATGGCCAAAAGCGAAATAATAACACTGATGTCAAGATGTAAATCGCATTATAACCAGGCAAAAATAACCCGTATTAAAAAAATATTATTTTTCTTCACACAGCTTAGTTAAAAATAAGCCAAACTGTAATTTACCGTGCATTTCATCATAACAATAATAATAACAACAACAACAACAACAATAATAGTAATAGTAGTAGCTTGTAAATGGAGACAATTTTATAGAGCTGAAAAAAAGCCAATAATATTATGTTTTTATCATTTGGTGAAATTATTATTATTATTGCCAAAATTGCAGTAAGTTAATATTTTTTTTCCTAATTTATTTCCTGATTTGCTGTTAGCACAGGCTGCACGAGATCCTAGAATATAGTTAATGAATCAGCCATCTCTCACACTAACACACACTCTCGCACCCCTGTGTTAAAGTGTGTGTGTCGGTGTGCTCTACTTTTTCTTTTCTTTTTCTTTTTTACACTTACTAATTGTCATTTTTAAATTGAGATGCATTTGCTGATTCAAACAGCAGATGGCGACAAACAAACGTCGACCCTATAACATACAAGCGTTTTCTGTCTGTGGGCCGAAGCTCTTAGGGACTAAAACAGACCTGTAAAATCGAAGAAATTAAAAACAGATGTGTTTTTGTTTCTTAATAACAGTTTATTGATGTAACCATTTTCTTGTGCTGTTTAATTACAGCCCCGACTGCGGTTATCATCTGGATACAGAGACACATGGATGCCGTGGTCTACGCCAGATGGCGGTACATTACTGCTATTAAAAATAAACTTCAATATGTTAAACAGCAGCAGTGTACAGCGCAATCTGTCTGAAAATTAATAAAACTATCACATTTAATAATAACACAAATAAAGTGACGTAGCTTATGGTGCAAATGATTTGCCCAAATTGCCCAGATGGAGCCGTGCTCACCACTCCTTAACGCCCACCCACCCCAAAATTTAACAATTTCTCTAGATTTAAAAAAAAGAAGCTTATTTTTAATAGCTCAACATCCTTTGTTGCACTAAAAACATCTATTCAGTCCTTCTAAAAATGTACATGTTGAAATTGCATCAGAATGCCCACGTGGACAATCTGGCTGCACCGGTTACAATATTTATCACAACACCTATCTTTAGTAGCTGGCTATAATTAAGCCGGAATTTATTTTTACTATTTTTGATTTTTTTTTCACTGTTAGAGTTTCTAGCTGGAGAGAAACTACTATATAGAAACTATAGAAATTATTTGTATTTTTAAAAAATAATTTTGAGATTACTATTATTAGTTTTTATGTTTATCCTCTGATGAACATAGTGAACATTTTTAGGATAACTTTCTGAAACCTTTTGGCACGGATGGCGCATTTCATGAGTAAGCCCTAACATCTTAAAAAATACAAAAATAAAAATATATATAAATGAACAAACGGAGACATCACAACAACCTGAAAAAAAAACCACCATCTCCGGTGTCCAGTGACATTTTTGTCATCTTCCTAATTTACCCTGTGTGTCTAACGCTGGTCAACAAACGTTACTAAACTCCACGGCGGTGTTGACGCAGACGCACACACCATAATAAAACCCACTGAACCACTGAGCAGCGTCCCACAATCTTCTCCGAGCTACTGACCGACCGAGTGACCCACCGACCATCGTACAAACATGTGACCGTGTCTGCTGCACCTGCACACTGGATAACGTCTCCACACTGGACGCTCCTGCTCCGCTCCTCTGTTCCCTCAGACCGGAGATGACGGACAACAGTTCCACGGACCAGGGGACCCCACGGGAGCCGCTGCTGCCATCGGTAAAACAACAACGTTGTATATATTTAAACCTGTCTGCCATAACGGGACGTGATTTTACAGGTCGGTGGAACAGTGATGCTGTGAGTGAATGTCGAAACTGATGAAACTGTTCGCCGCCGATTTCAGCAAAGTTTTTCAGCATTAAAAAACTATTTAGTTCCAAAATCAGTCACAGTGTCTCAGAGACACACGTGTCAAATCTAATGTTTCAGTCTGATGTCGTTTTACAGCATGACGACCTATATATAAAAAAAATACTGCATGACATTTTCAGTTAAAATATAAATTGTCATGTTGTGACAGTCGGTTTACAACATTTTATTTAATGTTGCACAGTGACAACGTAATGGGATTCAGTGTGTTAACTTCACTCTATGCTGTACAGTAGGAGAAATCCCTGATTTATACAATATTTTTCTTGTGCCATCAAGTTATTATGGCATAAGTCAGGGGTCGGCGACCTTCAACCCTAACAGAGTCCAATTTTGACATTTCATGTGAATATCTAAAAATCACAGACAGCTGCAAAAAAGCATTCTGACCATTTAAATCAGGGATGTGTTAATTAGAATTAGACCTGATGTAGACCTGGAGGACCAGATTTTAAACAGGATCCATCTGGACTGTGGATCTACATAGAACCCAGCAGTATTTAGTTTAATAACTTTGTCCTCAAAGATGTAGTCATGGCTGACGCAAATTCCACTGAGAGTGTCATGTATTACCAATGGTACCACACTGTGCACAGACAGTTATTACTTAAAAAGACTAGTTTTCTAGTGGCCACTTCTCTTACATCTCATCTTGCTCCCGTAGTGTTACTTGACTGACTTTTTCAGTCAGTTCAGTTTTCAACCAGACAGTTGAGTCGTAGGCATCAATATCTAAATATGGTCATTTGTGACAAAAGAAATGTGTTGGTGACATGAGGCATTTGTTTGGATATAATCTTTTAGTGCTGCACACAGACATTAGCATAAGATGTGATCAAAATAATCTTTTAGTGCTACACACAGACATTAGCATAAGATGTGATCATTCTAAAAAAGTATTAACATGTATAAGATCCTAGTACTGTCAGCAGTACGATGAAACGGAATACTTCCCAAACCTTCCTGTGAGAGACTCGATGTTTTGCCCTGATTTAGGGAAGCAGTACAATGAAACGGAATACTTCCCAAACCTTCCAAAATTCACCAGCAGGTATTAACCATAGATTAAATGTGGTGATCATTTCTATTCTTTTTAGGTTTCTTCCTCCTTTGGCTCCTCCGTTGGACGACCAAGTCTGGTGAGTTACCCTGTAGGTGTGACAGCAGTGATTACAACAAGGATCAACGTTAAGTCCTCTGTTGTACATCCCATACATCTACAGCAGAAGGAGCAGTATGTGTGTGGTGGCTTATGTGTAAGATTAACCCACTGCTCTTCCAGCCCCAGTTGATTAGATTCCGTATTTGAAAGGTTTAAGGACAGCTTTACAGGCAAATCTGTTTAAAAGACACATTTTATACGAAACACAAACGCATATTGTGGCTCAACAGGATTTCGATTGCCATCCTTGACGAGATACCGCGGTGATGTCACAGCTGAACCATGATGAGCGTCTCATCGCTCTGTTGATAGATGCTCAATCACAAATACCACTTGTCTGACACACCAGAAGGGCTGCAGTGACAATCAGAAATGCTGTGAAGCCTCAGAGCTCGGCTAGTGCTGCCTTAGAATCGGACCAGAACACGTACTGCGGTGGAGGACACAGGGAGAAAGCTCATGCATTCTGAAAACTTGGAGGTGCCTTGTTTCTTCAGTTATCAGGTAGGAAGAGGCTCGGGTCGGAGAGATCTCGGGCTGAGAGTTATTTGTCAGCTACAGATGACAGTTTGTCTCCTCTGAAATGCCAGATACTTAGGAAAGCTGCTGCTGAGATTTGTTGGCTTCTGTAAAGAGCTTTTTTTTTTTTTTTTGTTAATCGAAATTAATCCTGATCAGAATTTAAATTTGCAGTTGGGATAACGAGTTCTCAAAGATATATTAAGCAGCAGCACTTTGTGAGGAGATTCAGGTCTAATGTGTCCTTCTCCTCAGTGGTAAAGTTTACCATGGGATATATGAGGATTACGGTGCATTTTGCTGCACATCAAAGCCAGTGCACTTTAAAATATCAAAGTTACAGATGTTTCCAAAACTTGCCAAGCTTCTGATCCGACCTACTTCAGGACATTACAGGGTTTTAAGGTGATTTTTGTTTTGCTGCGTTGTTGGCTTAAACACGAATGTTGGAGCTTAGTTTTGCCTGAACTGAACTGAGAACTTCTACTGTTACAGTAACAGCAAGAAGCATTTTTGTACTTGGATGTTTTCAGAAATCATATGTACTGTATACTATCACATAGGGATATATTTGAGTCAAGTATTAGTCCTGATACTGATACTGTAATGGGAAGTATCCTAACGCTTTTCTTAGTTTAACGTCACAGTAGATTGACTTACAGTATATATCCCCAAAATTGTGTGTGTTAATGTTTTTACTGAAACATTGAAGAAATGCTGCTCAACATAACTGGTTACAAGAGGAGACAATGTTTTCTGTTGAAATTTGTGAAAGCTCTGCTCACTTTCTGGTCCAATGGCTTTGCTGACTATGCAAAATGTTTTTTATTATAACTTTTACTCACACCTGCGAGCTGTACATTCAATACAACACTGCTCTTTATTTCATTGTGAATATCAGTGGCGAATACACAAATGGAAGTACTCAAAAACAATGGTAAAAGTAAGTGATTGTTTTAATCATGGTGCTGGACATTACAGGAATCTAAGTAGTGTTTTAAAATGCGACCACGGAGCACACATGCAAAGGATAATGTATTCGGTGCCGTAGTGACAAATACCAGCAGTTTAATCTGAGCAGATACGCTGATCCCTGCCCTTTGTGGATGGATTATCGACATCAGCCTCATCCCTGACCCAGCCCATGTGGCAGTGCAGCTGCAAACAGCAGCACCAATAATTATCCTAATGCTTCGATGGTCAACTGGTGGTCAAGAAGGCACAGGGGTAAAACTGATCTCCAGGGAGATTAAAAAGAGAGACAAAAAAAAAAGCTTTAATAAAGATTAAATGAATAAAATGGAATAAATACAATCCTTTTTTTTTGGCTCTAATGTTGGAGAGTTGACCGTTGTACACGTTGCTCTAAAGAAAGGTGGTGATCAGGAGTGTGTTTTTGTCCATGAAGCTTTGCTGTCATTTCTTGGATTTACAGGCGATGACGTGACATACGTTTCCCCTCCTTTATCCAGAGCAGTGGTGTGATAATCCTGACCAGAAGTAATCTTGCCTTGATGTTAGCAGTAAATGATTCCATGAATAAAAAAGCACTGATCATCTCATGATCATTTTTGAAGAAAGTGTGTATTAGCTCAGGTATTAGCATGAGAACAACATCCAACTTTCCCACTCTTTTGTCTTGAGTAGCTCCATTGTAGCGTCCTAGCTAACTGACATGCGTTAGCATGGTAGAAATCAAAGTCCGATTTTTTTAACTTTAGGCCTAAATAAGCTGATCATTAGTTATAAACCATACATATTTATTTCCGGTGTGATTGAAACAGTTAAATGATGATTTCACCTCATTCTACAAACATTAATAAACAACCAGCTGTAGCTGATTCTCTCTCACTGTCTCTGTTCACGGTCGTTACATAAGCAGACACACATTCACACCACAGAATGACTGTGTTTTTTTCTGACTCACTTCAATCATCTCATCTCTTGTCATTCTCTGCTACGTCCGTGTTTGTCATTTATTGTAGCATTGGAATTAAAAAAAAAAAATCTTAGGCATTAGCCTAATGACGCGGTCTATAAAGGCCAAGTCAAAGGTCACACACCGACAGTCTAATGACATGTTCATGATCATTCAGCAGTGTCTCTTATAATCTGGCAAAAGCTCCGTATCGAGGATTATGTTCTTTTATTCTCTTCTCTCTCCTCTGAGTTTGACCGTTCGTAGTTATTTATATACTTATTTGTGCTGCACTGAAAAAAGGAACTGTTACATTGAGTTACACACACTCACACACACATATACACAATAACCTTCTGATACTTCTAACAGTTTCTTGCAATTTAGTCCGGCCGTGTTTCACCTTTTGAACCGGACTGGAATCATCAAAGTAGCAAGGTGAATAATTCATGGCTGGCTGTACGAGAAGCTTTGTGTTTGGACTCGGTTGTTTTTTTTCTTCTCCTCCTCGTCATGAAGAGACGTGCAATTAGTTTCTTTGGCAACCAGGCTTTTCAGCTGGATAATGTGTTTGTTCACAGTGACCCGGACTGTGAGAGATCACCAAGTCAGCTAATGTTTTATTTCACATTATGTTAAGGACACACAAGTACCCTGTAGTCCAACGGCTGATATCTCTGTGCCGAGGATTTCATTTTGTACTTTTCTCCCTCTCTCTCTGTGTTGGTCAGAAAAACGAAGATGAGGCCGTGGTGGACCATGGAGGAACACGTTCCCAACAGGGAACTAATTTTGAGCAGGAAGATCTGGAAGGTACCTGGAGTGATTGAATCAGTGAAAGAAAATTAAAAAAAAAATCATTTCAATAAATAAATAAATCAAAGTTGTGCTAAGCGGGGCTACTGCAGTAGATTCCACCCACTCTGTCCTCATCGCCGCTGCTGTTTGCCCTGACAGCTTTTACACAGTTGAGAGATGAGAGCAGAGTGGGAGGCAGAAACTGTGGGTGAGATGAATTCACATCAGTCATGTTGTAAACACTGAAAACCAGAGATAAGAGTGAGCGTTCCCAGTCTGATCAAATGTGATCACAGTTTCCTGTATGTTCCTGTTACAACACGTGTGTAAAAGAACGAACCAGTAACTGTAGAAATGACTGATTATCGACTCAATATCAACACTGAAGCGGCGCATGTGAAATAAAAAGCTACAGCTAGAACCAGGATTTAGAACCAGAGTCGGAGCCCGTCCTCACGCAGCATCTGAAACTGTTCTGGAACTTTCCCCAGGCCACAGGACTCTCTACATCGGTGTCCATGTCCCTCTGGGCAGCAGCAGGCATCGCAGTCATCGCAGACACCGTCACCATGGAAACAAGCACAGGAGGAAGAACATGGACCCGGCCCTTACGTTGGATGAGGGTAGAGAGTCTCCTCAATATGGTACTGATCACAGTGACGAACATGTACCAGTGAAGTGTTTCATATTCTATGTCTTTTCTTAAACAACGAGAAATGTGTCTGCAAACACCTGCAGCGCCGTACCCACAGCCAATTTTTTGAGAAATGTGTATGCAAACAGATGTTGAAGATGCTGAAGAAAGAGATGCCTTCACTGTCCTAGGAAATGAGATGACCTGCAGTGTCGTACCCACAGCCAATTTTTATCTCTGGTTTATCTCTGGTCTCAAAGAGTCAGTTTTGCAAATGCATCAATTTTGGAACAGATCGATGAAGTGTTTAAAGGTTTAGGGGCTATAGAGTATTGTATATTGTATTTTACACAGTGATTACCAGTGTCTCAAAGAGTCAGTTTTGCAAATGCAAAAAAGAAAAAAAAATCCCCAATATAACACTTACGGTACCATCAGTGGTATGCGCACCATAGATTGAGAACTGCTGTCTTAGGCCATTTATGAGGTGATTAATAAAAAAGTCCCTTATTTTTCCCATGATGGGAGGAATTTACAGTGTGAGTCTTTGCAATACACACAGGCAGCCACAGGAGGCGCCATTAAGTATTTTGTTCCTTTGGGGCTTGAACCCAGAACCTTCTGCGTGTAAGGCAGATGTGTTGAAATTGGTAGTGTTACAGATTAATGCCTAAGGAAAGCAAACAATACCGCAAATGGACTCGATTTAGTTCAATCAGATTATCATCTGATGGAAACCTGTAGTAAATCAGAGGAAGTGACTTGACCGGAGGACAAACCAACATCATCCATTAGTTATAATCATTTAATAATCTGAATGTCATCCTCTCCCATCTCCCCCCCAGACACTCCCTCCCAGAGGGTGCAGTTCCTGCTGGGGGCTGAAGATGACGACGAGGAGCACATCCCTCACGACCTCTTCACAGAGATGGACGAGATCTGTGTGAGGGACGGAGAGGATTCTGGGTGGAGAGAAAGTGCCAGGTCATATAAACAGTACTGTCCTGTCACTACACACACACACACACACACACACACACACACCGTACCCCTGCCCATGCCTGTGAAACCGCTCCACTCTCACTGATGAGAGATGAAGCTGTGCATGTGACGTCTGACATTGTCATTCACTGTTCTAATCCACAGTGTTTTGTTGACGATGATCTGATGACACTGCACACAGACCCAGGATAGATGATGAATATTAGAACAGATTGGCAGCCAGTTTGCTGCCTCCTGTCCTGATACAGCTAATGTCCCCCGTCTCAGGTGGCTGAAGTTTGAGGAGGACGTTGAGGACGGTGGGGAAAGGTGGAGCAAACCTTACGTGGCCACGCTGTCTCTGCACAGTCTGTTTGAGCTGCGGAGCTGCATCATCAACAGCTCAGTCCTGCTGGACATGAGGGCCGGCACCATCGACGAGATCGCAGGTAACCTCACGTCAGACACAGGTTTATCCACCAGTTTGATGTCCAAACATTACAATATTCGAAATAAAGTCACACCTCAGTGCCGACGTGTACATCGAACACCAGCAGGAGTAGCATTTGAACTGTAAATTGAACTCTTGTTATACAGACATGGTCTTGGATCACCACGAACTGTACTCTCCACTGGGTGATGAGCTCAGACAGAAAGTGCGGGAAACTCTTCTGAAACAGCATCATCACCAGAAGCAGAAGAAGCTGAGTAACCGCCTCCCCATCGTGCGCTCCCTGGCTGACATGGGCCGACGCGCATCGGAGCTCCATTTGGACAAGAACGGTAAAACCCAAGAGCTGTGACCCAGACGTTTGGGACTCTGGGTTGTTATAGTCGCTTAGTAAATCAGTTATGGAAGGAACATTAAAAAAAAAAGAGTACATTTTCAGTGTGTTCTAAGATGCGCTGAGGCCCAGTTTGTCTGAAATTCATCTTCTTGTGTGTTAATATAAATGAATGTGTCTGTTTTGTCCAGGTCAGCTGTTGTCTTCTCAGTGTCATTTGGCCGCTCCAGAGGGGAAGAGTGACGTTAGCAGAGAGAACAGTTGTGTTGACCTCAGCAAGGTACGATACATACACCACAATTTCATGGTTCATTATATACAAGTTACATTTATGGCATTATTATTATTATTATTATTATTATGTAAATACAGTATTTCTTAAGCCCATTACATTGTATATTTCCACACATTCTTCTGCAGCAGAGTCTAATCTGAATCAGTCAGTGTCAGATTATGGATTACACTGTGTTCAGATTGGATGCTGTATATTCGCAGCCTGTGCCTCATTTGATAGTCAGGACGTTGTGTGTATAACAGTGTGTTTCATGCAATAAACAGGTCATTGTTGTTAATGGAGAAGTCATTTAGACAGGGATTAGGATTATATTCTGGTACATATTGTATCATAAAGGACAGATCCAGCACTGGTTATAATCATACACAGCATGTGAGGACCTGTCCTGTACTGTAGATGTTCTGACTCATTTTTTACCAACTTGGTGCAAATAACTTCCTGTTGAAACACAGATTTTTCTGCTTGGTGCAAATAACAACTTCCTGTTGAAACACAGATTTTTCTTTGAATCTTTTTATATTAAAATACCTATATCTTTACAGCATGGGATTCAATTTAAACTTTTATTTGTTCAGTAGAAAAAAATATATATAACACAAATTGCCACAGTTATTGGTTGTTTTTGTCTTCGTATTTCAGAGCCAAATGAGCAAACAACACTTGAGACAACACTTGAAATTTTACACATAATTATCACTGAAAAAATTAACACGTTTTAAATTCAGGATGTTTCTCTTCCATTCAGGTCCACTTCAGAGGAGAACACAGAGTTCTCTTTGTCTGGGTCAAAACTCATCAGAACCAGAATTAGTAATGATGTAATTGTGAAGGTCAAATTAAAAACAATGGATTTCAGGTCATATTTGTAAATCCACATGTTGAGTCAGTTCAGGGCAGTTACTAACCTTATTAGAAAACATGTAAAAACAGACGTTAGCCTCTTAGATCAGTTACTAACCTTATTAGAAAACATGAAAAACAAGACGAGATGAATGTAAAAACAGACGTTAGCCTCTTAGCAAAAGCCTTGAGTTTGACATACTGTATGTGGTCAATACAACACTATAGACCAGGAGGGTGAAACTCAGTTACATCAGCCACAACAAGTAACAGTTCCTGTATCCAACTCATCCAACTATACAGATTTCTTTGGTCAAAGAAGTGGACATAATCCTAAAGTGTGATGATCAACAGTGGAGTTGATGAACTCCTGAAAAATAAATCACTCAGAATATTAGCTCTACTTTTCCTGGACAATGAACCCTTGACTGTTTTTGTTTTTCTCTCAGACAGACCTTCATTTCATGAAGAAAATTCCACCAGGAGCTGAAGCCTGTAACGTGTTGGTGGGCGAAATCGACCTTCTGAATAAACCGGTGGTGGCATTTGTTCGACTCTCACCAGCCGTTCTGCTCGGCGGTCTGACCGAAGTTCCCATCGCCACAAGGTAAATGTCGGCGAAAGGATTTGTTTCACCAGAAAAAAAAAGTATTTTTTTGAACAAATGAAAGACAGTCATCCACGTCTGCTCTCAGGTTTCTGTTCATCCTGCTGGGGCCCCTGGGCAGAGGACTCCAGTATCATGAGATTGGCAGGTCAATTGCGACACTTATGACTGATGAGGTGAGGGCGTCTTATAGAACATTACTTCAGCTCATTATCCTTTTGCACTTTGCATGAATTCACAGTTGAAGTGGAACCTAAGAAATTGGTGAAGTGATGCCAACATTTCCCAGCGTGAATCTCACTCAGAGCGTCCATGACATTGTGCTCTTGTCTATTAGTCAGCGCTAAATTCTTTTTTCGTTTATCACCTCTGCGGAAAAAAAAAAGAAAAAACCTCCATGCTCAAAAATGAGGTTTAGCAGAAGTGTTCCTCTGTTCTGGAGGTTGATTGTCTTGTAAAGTCGTGGACAAAAGTGTCGGCTAAATGCATGACTTTTACAGTCAACTTGAGACCAGGGATGTTCGATATGAACTTTATCCAATCTGCTGATATTGCCCGAACATTTAATTTCTGATTCCGATATTGACCGATACCGATATATATTTCCCCATTTCCCTCCAAAACTGCAGTGAACATCTCAGGACCCTACAAGCAATTCCAGCATCTTTGGCTAAACCCAGGCAGATATCGGGTTTTCATCATCGGAGGAAAAACCAATAACTAGCTAATATCGGGCCAATAATATTGGTCAGCAGACATTATCAGACATCCCTACTTAGGACTTTTTTCCCCCAATCGACAGGTATTTCATGATGTGGCTTATAAAGCCAAAGACAGAAACGACCTGATCGCTGGGATTGACGAATTCCTCGACCAGGTGACAGTTTTGCCTCCGGGAGAGTGGGATCCATCTATACGGATAGAACCTCCAAAGAACGTTCCGTCTCAGGTTCGTCAGAATTTTGTCCAACAGCCTGGTTTAAATTTGACTGAATTGACTTTGGTTCTCTCTGGGGAATTCACTGTGGTAATTTTTAAAACAGGAGAAGAGGAAGAAGAACCACATTTTACCCAATGGTTTAGTTGAAGGCGAGGAGGAAGAGGAGCACGGCGGCCATGACGGCCCAGAGCTGCAGCGCACAGGAAGGTGGGCAGAGAGAGTTCCTGTCCACACTGTGGATGTTGCTGTGATGCTGATCGTCTATTTTTGGGCAAACTTGGTCTGTAGTTGTACTGTAGGCAGAGTGGTTTCCATGGAGACGCACTGCTTTAACAGAATTTGTAGTATTCACAGACACATTTCTTCTACTCTGTCACACGCTGATCCAAACGAGGAGCCGATCATTGAGACAAAGTTCAGTCAAATTCACACCTCTGATATTTAACAAGCGTCTGGAGTGGCGTTAATTCCTCATTCATTACTACACCTGTGTACATTTGTACTACGTTCAAGTCGGTATCTGTCTCTCTGAATTATGCATTTGATGATATGGGGAAATGGATATAATACTACAATGAAAAACATTTCTGTCCACAAGAGGGGGCCATGACAGAAAATAATTGAGAACCACTGGCTTAACCACAGTACTTTGTGTCCCTCTTGTTACTGCAAATAACAGTGTTTATTTTTCCCAGATGGTTCGGTGGACTCATTGTGGACATCAAGCGTAAAGCGCCCCACTATTTGTCCGACTACACTGACGCCGTCAGTCTGCAGTGCGTGGCCTCCTTCCTGTTCCTCTACTGTGCCTGCATGTCTCCTGTCATCACCTTCGGAGGACTCCTGGGCGAGGCAACAGAAGGACGCATAGTAAAGTGGCCTGTTCACCGTCTGTATTTACACCTGTGACTTTGTCTGTACTCAGGGATTACCTTTGTGCTCATTCACTGTATTTCCCAGAGTGCAATAGAGTCGCTGTTTGGAGCCTCGCTGACTGGAATAGCCTACTCTCTGTTCGCTGGCCAGCCTCTCACCATACTGGGCAGCACCGGCCCGGTTCTTGTATTTGAAAAGATACTGTTCAAATTCTGCAAGTAAGTCAGCCGCTGATGACAGCTTAGGATAAATCTTCATGTGCAATAACAAAGATATCTCTCTACATATGTGTGGACGACGCCTTTCATGGCAGGTCACGACCTCTGCAAACGAAAAACCACAAAAAAAGTACTAACCCAAAAAAAAACAAAAAACAAAAAATTTCGCAAGGCATTATGACGACATGTTTAGCACCCTCTGCAGGGGAGATCAAGACATCGTCTTAAAACAAGATTAGCAGTTTTGGCCCCACAGTTACATTCTTTATAACAAGTTAGATAATATATATTGTTAAAACTAAAACAAGATTAGCACGTTTGGCCCCACAGTTACATCCTTTATAACAAGTTAGATAATATATATTATTATGTAATTATTTAGTTATACATTAGTATATATCATGAATTTGTATTTATGTGGTTAAATACTGATTGCAGATCTAACTTCCTGCATTTTTAACAGATTTCCCCTTTTCCCTTTTCTTTCCTTCACACAGGGAGTACGGCTTGTCCTATCTGTCCCTGAGGGCCTGTATCGGTCTGTGGACAGCCTTCCTCTGTATCTTCCTGGTCGCGACCGACGCCAGTTCCCTTGTTCGTTACATCACACGGTTCACAGAGGAAGCCTTCGCCTCACTCATATGTATCATATTTATTTATGAAGCCCTGGAGAAGCTTTTCCACCTGGGGGAGCACTTTCCCTTCAACAAGAACAACAACCTGGACAAACTCACCATGTACTCGTACGTTCTTTTTCAATGTCACTCTCCCATCCTAAATAAGCTGTTAGTCAGTCTATGTGCGGGGGTGAGGGTGAGGAGGGTGAGGGTTATTTTATTACACAGATGTTCCTGTGCCTCCACAGATGTTCTTGTGTCGAGCCAGCTGACCCCACCAATGGCACCCTGAAGTTCTGGGAGATCAACAACATCACCGCCTCAGAAATCTACTGGGAGGCCCTGGAGGTCAAGGTAGCGTCTAATTAAACGCCAACAATCTGGATTTAAAAACATCGACAGAAGAGAAATATCCAGACGTGGTGGTTTTAAAAGTTTTTAGCAGTTAGTCATTTAAACATGGACGCTTTCCTAAAGTGGCATTTCCTCCCAGAGATTAAGGCCACAGGGGCTGGATTATATTGGATTACTCAGTGCACATCACTCAAAGCCCTGTTTCCTACAGACACCGGTGTTTGTGCACACTGTGAAATCTGCCAAAGGCTAATTGTATGAAAAAGTAAAACCTCTGCTCTGTGTCTCTGCTGTTACAGGACTGCGTGGAGAAGAGAGGGGAGTTTGTGGGCAGTGCCTGTGGCCCACATGGACCATATGTCCCTGACGTCCTCTTCTGGTGTGTCCTTCTCTTTTTTTCTACCGTCTTCATGTCTGCATTCCTGAAGGAGTTCAAATTCAGCAACTACTTCCCCACAAGGGTACAGTTCAGTCGTTCTAACATCTCTCCTTATATGTGCTGTATATCTAGCTATTGTTTTTACCCACATACAGTCCTTGATACAGAAGCACGGTGTTGTGGCACCCTCTGGTGGTCAAACACAGACATTCCTTTGTTTAAAAAAAAAGGAAAAGCTTTTTCTTTTTTCAAGTATATATTTTTGTCTTATTCCTCGTCAGGTGAGGGCCACCATCAGTGACTTTGCTGTGTTTTTCACCATTGTTACGATGGTCTTGGTCGACTACGCCCTTGGAATTCCCTCTCCTAAATTAAAGGTTCCCAGTGTGTTTAAGGTAAGTAAAGGGCCTGACCAAAGGTGATAAAGGAAGGATCTTCATCCTCATGATTTTAATGACATTTTATACCAGCCGACCAGAGACGACCGCGGTTGGTTCATCAACCCACTGGGTCCAAACCCGTGGTGGACGGCGGTCGTTACACTGATACCAGCCCTGCTGTGTACCATCCTCATTTTCATGGACCAGCAGATCACTGCTGTCATCATCAACAGGAAGGAGCACAAGCTGAAGGTACCATCGACAACTAAGAGGACCATGTGTGAGATCAACTGTAGATGAGAACAACCCTCAGCTTCTTCTTCTTCTTCTTCTTGTTCTCCCTCTCAGAAAGGCTGTGGGTATCACTTGGATCTCTTCATAGTGGGGGTGATGCTGGGCGTCTGCTCTGTGATGGGTCTGCCGTGGTTCGTAGCGGCCACCGTCCTCTCCATCACCCACGTCAACAGCCTGAAGCTGGAGTCCGAATGCTCGGCTCCCGGGGAGCAGCCCAAGTTTCTCGGAATCAGAGAGCAGCGCTTCACAGGCCTGATGATTTTCACCCTCATGGGCAGCTCTGTGTTCATGACCACGGTGTTGAAGGTCAGACTGACGTTATACTGTGTATACATGGACTTTTCATTTTGCTACTAATTGTATTTAACCTTGAATGATAAATCATTGACACGTTTTTAATTTCTGCAGTTCATCCCAATGCCTGTGTTGTACGGAGTGTTCCTGTACATGGGAGCCTCGTCTCTCAGAGGCATCCAGGTAAAGTCATAGACCGGGGGTGTCAACCTCAAATTCACAGTGGGCCAAACTTAATATTCTTCTTTGAAAAATTGGCAATTGTGCATGTTTCCCTTCTGTTCAGATATGTAATGCAGATTTTTTTTTCATATGGAAACAAAAAGTAGTTGGGCCTGAGTTTGACAAAGCTTATTATAAACACATGAGTTTTCACAGGCCAACAACAAAAAACAAAATGTATCTGCAATAACATAGCACATACATCATTAATACTACAAATACTCCAGTATATAGGATCTATATTTAGAGCTGGTGGGCCAAATATAGATACATTGCGGGCCAGATTTTGCCCCCGTTAGATCTGGTGGGCCAAATATAAATACATTGCGGGCCAGATTTTGCCCCCGGGCCTGAGTTTGACATTTCCATTGATACTTCCAAATTCATTAAAATGTTATATACAGTATATATTTTAAATAGTGTATTATAAAGAGGTCCAGGTCCTGATGAACACAGAAAGTTGTTGAAAAATAGAAAACCTTGTATCAAACGTGTATTTCTGATTTATAGTATTGTGTACTGTAGATACACATACTGTATCTACTCTGTTTTACTTTTATTGTGCACACAGAGTATGAACAACGACAATAAAGATTCTGTTCCATGTTGAGGCCCATAAAAAAAAAAACCAACGTCTGCTAAATGTACCGTGCGTTCACCACAGACGGTGAACTCCATGTGTGTGTTTAAAACGAGACACAGATCAGGGCAGTGGTGTTAATTTGGAGGATCCTCCACCACATAATCTGTGCAGACTGTTAATTCCCACAAAGCCACGATTGGGGATCGCCTCCATATTGTCTGGCTGCCCAGATATGTGAAGTGTTAATTGGCCACTAGTGTGTTCCCGGCACTTACACAACACCTGACTGTTATTTAATTGCCCTGTTTACTTCCTCTTTTCTCCATTTTTCTTTGGATTATTTTTATATCTGGCCTTTAAAAAAATAGATTTAGACATAAATATCAGGCCAAACCATTTGTTCTCACACATGTAGCAGACATTCAGGGAGTTGTCCATACTGCGTGTGTGTGTGTGATAACACTGTGTCTGATGTTGGATATATTTTGTGATTTAAATTTAAATAAGTGCATGTCCCTGTTTAAATAAACTAAAAGAAAATCTAAATAAAAAAAAAGAAAGGTTTTTCAAAATTGTCAATAATTTGTCTTCTCCAGTTCTTTGACCGCCTGACACTGTTCGGCATGCCGGCCAAGCACCAGCCAGACTTCATCTATCTGCGACACGTACCCCTGAGGAAGGTGCACCTGTTCACCATCATCCAGCTCAGCTGTTTGGTTCTGCTCTGGGTCATCAAGACCTCCAGAGCTGCTATTGTCTTTCCAATGATGGTGTGTGCACAATCCAATTACTGCACACTGTCTGCAGGCACATTACACAACCAGCACAGCTTTCATTAGACACCAGGGTGGACAGTCGTCTGGTCACTGTCAGTCTTGTCTTGTTTTTAAATTCCATGTTGTAAAGAGATAGAAAAAGGTGAATGCTCCTTTAAAATGTCACCTCACAATCACGTTGGTTTTTAACATACATCAGGTGAGTTCAAGATTCAGCCTTACACCGAATTGTAGGCCCAAGAATTTTTTATGCTCCAACAACCAGGCATTTTGATAAATTTGTTTGAGCTAACAATCGGCCGACCTTTTTACTTAGTGAACTGTTAGCAGTATTTTTGACTTTTCTGAATATTAGGTCTTTTGCTTAATTTTTTGGGCTAATTTTAGACATTTTTGCTTTGCGTTCTGGTTTTTCCCAGAATTCTTTAGTCATCATTTAGATCCTCTAACGTTCATATTTTCTGAATTACGACGTTTGTCTCCACCGCTGCAGGTCTTAGCGCTCGTGTTCGTCAGGAAGCTGATGGACTGCATCTTCACTAAGAGAGAGCTCAGCTGGCTCGATGACCTGATGCCAGAGAGCAAGAAGAAAAAGCTGGACGATGCAGAAGTGGTAAATCTGCGGCCATCACCCACGTACGTCACCCTGTGTTAAATGTCTTTAACCTCATGTTTAATCTTCAGGAAGAGGAGCAGAGTATTCTGGCAGAAGACGAGGGAGTCGTTCAAGTACCACTGGAAGGATACAAGTACGTTGTAGTACTGGTGTTAAGTAACTGTATACTTTATTTTTCTTTTCTTCATAAGCAACACTTAACATTCTGTTTGTTGCGTCTTCACAGAGGATTACCCATCATCAACATCACTGATGAAATGTCAAAGGGTTCCTTTGGAAATACATGGAATCCAAACAGCTGAGAACAGGACGATGGTAAACCACACAGGAAAACCGGTAGTATCTAGAAATCATATATTTGAATATAAGTTGCACCTGACTATAAGTCGTGAAAAAAAAACAAAAAAACAGTGCGACTTATAGTCCAAAATCTACCAAACATTTCCAAAAAAACTTGAAATTTTTTTCCTTCTCTCTCGTTGCTCACAGTTCTCCACAAAAACGCAACAGGACACGCTAAGTATTTTTCGATGTAAGAACCTCGGGAGGAATGTGACAGAAAAAAACGTTGTGAGTCTTTCATGTTGTTTCCTTACTCGTGACCTGTGACCCAACCTGTGGTTCACACCTCATGAATTTTTCACACTACAGCCAGTTTTGTAAATGTTCCACTTGTTCGTCAACTACCAGATTTTCTTTACTATAAGTCGCTCCGCAGTATAGAGTGCCCTCTTGTGGCTGTCATTGTGAAAATACCAAACATATCCCACAATTCCCACCTGTGTATAATTCACAAACCCAGCCAAAGGATGAAGAAAAGTGCGACTTATAGTCCAGGAAATATGGTAGTGATCATTAGATGTTTCTTGTTTTATCAACATTGTAACAGTCAACGTCCAGTGTGACTTAAGGAAGGTCTGGATCAGCTTCTTTGTTGTTCTTCTAATTTTTTTATCTTCGTTTGAATGACTTTAATCGAGAACATTTATCTGATTGCAGCAATATGTTACTGGATGTTTTATCCAAAAAAAGCTGAAGATATTAAAGGCAATACATTTCTGTAAACTCGTGCTCGTGTATTAGTTGTAAACAGCACCTGGTAAATGTGACTAGCAAACCTAAGACAGGCAGAGATTTCTTTAAACACAACCAGTGAACAGACAATGATCTGCTGCTGTTGTGAAAATAAAATCCCTTCATTTTAATACATATTTTTATGGAAGTATCTATGTAGAAGAGTTTGCTTTAAATACTTATTAACCTAATGATGACGTTCTGTAATTATCATCCTGTCGTTTATGTCTTTGAAATAAAGGATGTCATAAAGACTTTTTTAGGTTTGTACGTCTTTTATATATTTCAACCTCACGTTTGTTATGGGTTTGATTCAACAGAACACAACAATAACAGTTCACATACGGGATGTTTGACATTAACTTTTTTGCCGATATCTGATACGCCCATATTGTCCAAACATTTTTTAGAGAAGCTGGGTTGAGAGCAATAAAGTAGTTTAGAATGAGTTACTGCAATTGTGTTCCAATAAAAGTTCTTCAGAGCACTGAGGCAAATGACTGGTCCGTCACTGGGGCATTAGACTAGTTTTAGAGCACACGTCATTTGGCGAAACACAGGCATTGCGTCAACATCAGGCTGATAATGTCCGTGTGCCGATATTATCGGTTTATGTTTGTGTTTGTGTTTGTCATGGACTCCATTCTAATGTCGATTGCTGAGAACACACACTCCTGTTACCCTCAAACTAAGGTTTTAAAACACAACACTAACAGACAGTTGATGAGGAAACACACTGGCTCAACGTGAAGGGACATTTATCTTTGATGCAGTGACCCTCCCCCCCTAACTCCAAATCATGCAACAGTTGTTGCAAGTTTTGCTGCTAAACCGCAAACACAGAACCCCAGCAGTAAAGAAACATTCTGTCTAAACACATGGTAAACAACAAGAGAGCGTCACAGCAGCACAGCAACACACAACACACACGTTCTCACAGCAAAACAACTGAAAACCAGAGCCAGGGAGCAGCAGGTATATATAGGAGAAAAGGGGGCGGGGCTAACAAGTCACAGGTGAGGAAGGTTAGCAATCAGCATGGAGAGAAACACAGGAGTCAGGACCAGGTGGAGGAAGAGGAGGTATGATTACAGGAGGCAGGAAGTGGAGCAGCCAGAGAAGAAAAACACTGAAACACAGTGAAATCTGAAGAGAAAAATAAGTGAAATAGGAAGAAAAAAACAGAAACTGAGTTTCAATGGATAAAATATTAAATTGAGTTTTCAAATGTCTTCTAACAAATCAGATCAGGTGACATGTTCAGCAGCAGGGACGCTGCCCTCTGTTTGTATTTTCTCTTTTTTTCTACAGTTTCTACAGTTCAACAAAATGGTTGAAAATATACAGTAATTAGTGATCATTTATGTCGTCAACATTTTCAGAAATTGAAGGTTGAACTGTAACACCGTTAGGGTGAGGGTCCTTAAAGATGAAAGATAGAAACTCCTGAAGGAAAAGGACGAGGGTTTGATGTTGATGTTGTTATACCTCAGTACTAGGTTCACAAATAAAGAGATACTTCATCCTGTGGTTTACTACATCACAGTCTCCTGACTCGTGTCTTATTACATTTGAATCTAAATTTATGGCTTTTTTCCTGCAATGCAATTCTCTTATTTCATTACATTTTTCTCATAAATGTTTGTGTTTATGTTTGGTGAACACACATGTCAGCCCCTAACATGACGTCACAGGATGTTAACTCCACCTCAGCACCTCTTCATTTCCACTCGGGCTATTTTTAAATCAAGGATTTTGTGAATAACTCTTTAAATTCACCCCCCCTCCCCCTCCGTCTCCCCCGTGTCTCCTGCCTCTGTGATTACCCTCACCTGCCCTGCTGTGTCTCCCTCCTGGTGATTACCTGCTCCTCCCTTAATCTGCTCCACCTGTGTCTGCTGTAGTTCCTGCCTCAGGTGTGTGTATTTAGAACAGAGTCCTCCCTGATCAGATCAGACCAGTCCAGTCCAGTCCAGTCCAGTCTAGTCTAGTCTTTTTCCTGTTTGTTTCAGAACCGTTACCACAGAAACAGCCCCCTCTGTGGGCCACACCCACTCACTCACCTGTCAGTAAAGCAGTAGAACATTTGTCTGCGTTTGACACTTAGCATTTGTGATTCATTGGATCATTTGTGTGGGGGGGGCCTTTTTGCCCTTCATTATGGCTCTCAGACGCAAGTCTGACGCGTCTTCTGGTGTTTTTATGTCCTAGATCATGATGTTAGCACTGTGTTAGCAAATGCAAATGACACTGTAGGTACTGATGAACAGTGTTTATGGACGATGTAATGCTTTGATATAGTTACAGGGCTACAGGTTGGTTTAAATCGGAAGGCCTAACATTTGAAAGAAAATTCCTACACCCTCAAAACGTTTGATTTTTTTTGACAAAAACAGATGAACCAAATGACTCCACCTGACACCCAAACTGTTTTTTTCCTTTAAGATTCTGATTCTGACCCCTCCACCTCTACCCCACCCTCGTTTCCCCACCCCATGTCTCCCAGCCCTCAGACCCAGATCAGTCTAAAGGCAGATCATTAGCCATACCCGTGTAATACATCCCACAGGATCCTCCGTCACGTCACGTCACGTCAGATCAGTTGTCAGCGCGTTGGCACAACTGCGGAGACAAAGGCGTTAAGGGAAGATCCCGCGTTGCCAAGCAGAAATGCCCAGTTCTAACCCTGGGAGATTTGGCCTTGACTGGAGCGTGCTGGGCTTTTATAGTCAACAGATGGTTTTGATGTTCCACAGATGACAGCTAGGAGATGTGGCACATCCCTGAACATGTCAAGCTGCTGGCTCGTGTGTATTATTGTCTGCGCTGCCAGGAGGCGCTGGAGAGTGTCGACCCGACGAACGCTCCCAACCAGTCCAGCGTGAATCACATCATTCGTCTTATTTTAGTGTAGTCTGTCCCAAGAGGACGTGTCTTCCAAGAGGCAGGTTAGAGTTTTTTTTGTGTGTCTTCTGTTTCTAATCACATCCATTTTAAGAGGTTATGACTTTTTTTTGGGAGGTGGGTGTTAATAATTTATAAGCCTGTGAGTTCTACGGGTTTAAACTTCATCTTTGTGTATTTTTTGGGATGTAATACCTCCTTCAGACAACAGGGGACTCGTTGATTGTACACATTTCTTTATATACAACAGCGGACTCGTTGATTGTACACATTTCTTTATTGAAAACTAAATGACTTTTCTGAATAATAAGAAAACATACGGAGACTATCTACAGGAGTGAGTGTGGAACAGAAGCAAACTCAGACAGAGAACGGAATCATAGGTTTTTGTTTTAAGTCAACGTGGATGACGGACGACCAGAAATCCCAACATGTGAACATAAAAACAACATAATGTCGTTGTTTGAAGAAAAAAAGAAAAATCCTGCTCCATTTATCACACAGATTTCAAACATCCTGAAGTATTTTTTTTTTCCAATTTTGCAACATTTCATCCAACACTGCAGACCAATCACGATGGGAATTTGATAGAATGGCGAGAGGAAACGCTCAGCACAGACTGTGAGACACACATATAATGGCAGAGAGTTATTGGAGATTGCTGCATGATCCCAGAGCTGCTGGAGCTCCGTGCCTCCGTCTACTCTCTCCTGCCCCGGCCCGTCTTTAGCCAGGAAACAAACTCCTTGGCCGCCTGGTCCTGCAGGTAGGAGCTGACGTCACTGGTGTAGGTGCCGTCTGCATGACGTCTGAACAGACTCCTGCAAGAGAGACAGCGGAGGGTCTCAGTCACAGAAGGTCTGGGTTCGCTTTTATTACTAAAGGAAAACATGAAACTGCACCAGTCAGAACTGAACGTCTGGAACAGTCAAACCTTAGGACTCTTATATCTGAGATCTACCTCAGCAGATCAAAGTCTCATGGTGAAAATACAGTGGCAATTCCTAAAGAATGACACTAGTTCGAGACCCACCACTGAACCATGGGTCTGAATCTGGAGACTTAGGTAAAGATGATAGAGATGATACAGTCAGCAGAAAACAGTCAGCACAAGTCAAATAATTATTATAATTAAAAAACAACAACACCAAAGCTATCTCTTGTCTTGATTTCAGATTTGTAAAATTAACCCATAACCAAACACCAACATATAGGACCAATATACTAAGATTAAACTTGTCAAAGAAGTAGAGAAAAAAAAATCTTCAAACTATAACGTCTGACTCCAGGCTCCCGTATGTGGTTATATATGATATATTGATATATGTGGATGGTGGCACTCACCCGTTCCTTTTTGAGTTCTTTAGCCACTGTACAAAATCTTGTGCTCTTCTGGTCTCCAGGTATTTACTGTAATCGTTGGAGAAAGTTCCCTCTGAATGTCTCTTCATGTTTGGGAGCTCGAGTGGTTCGTTGAACAGGGAGTTTTCTGACAGTGACCTGAAAGAAAAACAGAAAATATTTGAGCCAAACTGTTTACATACATTTCGATTAAACAGCAGCTCAGACACAAGAGTTCATTCGTAAATAAATGGCAACTGAGAAGCAATAAATGAATTTCCATTCAAATTAAAACTCTGACCGACAATTTATTAAAACTGACGACTAATTTTAGAAACTGAGATTATCTTGGAAAATACTAAAGAAGTAAAATTATTTTGTTAACTAAATTTAAAAGTTAATTACTCTATTTCAGCTAAAAATATTAACAATATAATATTATTAATAATAATAAAATATAATTTTATATATGACAATTGTTAATGATAAACTAAAAAATTAAACTGACTATAAAATCTTATTTCTTCCACCAAACCTAAGAATCTTTAACAGAACTGTTTGTCTGTTGGTTCAATAAATCAGTGAGAAAAAGAAAAGCAGAAAATTGCTCTTACATGAAGTTATGGTTCGCGTCCTGGTCGGGGACCTGCCAGCTGTTTTTGATGATGATGAAAAGCATGAATCCAGCTAAACTGAAGGCGGTTTTCATTGTGCTGTCTTCTAAAATGCAGAGACAAAAAATTAGTTTTTTCTTGGGTTATTATAATTTAAGGTGTGGAGGAAATATATTCTCACCTGAGTCCTGTAGCGTTTGAACGGGGATGTGACGTTCACTGACTGCTGCCTTTCTTCTCTGCGCTGCCTCGGCTCCTGCTGCTGATTTCCAGGTCCCTGTGCGATGCTCCAGGTCTTTTATAGCAGAGCTGAGGACCACTCTCTGCGGTGACGCCGTCGTCACTGAAACATCAGCGTGTCCTCCCTTTCTCTCAAGCCATTAATCAGCTTCCGTCTCAGTTCACTAAACTTGTTTGACTTTTAGGAAAAGTGAGTGATAACAGGGACACAATCAAACACGACCTCTACCCTGACAAACAAATCACTGCACGCGTACGTGTTAAACCTGATGCCTCTCACCTCAATAAAACACAAGCCATGGAGGGGTGAGGGGTGAGGGGTGGTGGTGGGGGAGGTTGGTTACACGTAGCCTGTTAGCATTTTCTGACAGAGTCATGTGGAGTTAACAATCATCCTGTTTTGGTGGTTTTTACTTTACACACATTTACGACGAGGAATTATTTGTTGAAGTTTTTCAAGTTAATTTATACAGAAAAAGAAAACCTGATTTTAAAGTGCTAGCTGCAATTACAAGTACTACAGTGTCGTACTACACAAGTTCTACTTGTTGTTTAGCGCAGTCCTTGATTTGTTTTGCACCAGTTTTATTCTATGCACTTTCTATTATTATTACATTGTATTTTTTTTTATTGAGAACCAGAATTCCATGCAGATTAACCTAAATATTTTAATTTAAAAAATAAATAATTACAGCTTCGTACCAGTTTTCACAGTTATGTACTCGTTTAATCTCAAATAATCCCATTGTTTAATGTGTTATTTGCCTTTCTATTCCTTCTCCTAACAAGGCAAAGTTGTTCTAAGGAAGCAGTTAGAATCTCGCTAAGTGACGCTAAGATGCTAGCGTAAAAGAAGATGCTAAGTGAGATAAGTTCACGTAGTTTGGCCAAGACCAGTCATTGTCATCAGTGATCGTTGATGATCATTGTTACATCTCTTACTAGAGAGAATTCAGACTTAAAATCTCAAAACGTCTATAGTTTATTTCAGCTTTATTACAGATGATACAACGCCACAGAGAACAGTGCAATTTTTAAAAAAAAATTAACACATTATCAGGTCATTCACTGTTTATGCATGCAAAAGAAAAAAACAAAGATCGACAAAAAGTTTCATTATCTCATACAGTATAAAACATACAATAATCATTTATAAAACCAATGCAATTCTCATAAAACATACAATGATCATTTATAAAACCAATGCAATTCTCATTGCACATGGAAACAAGAAAGAAAATCTACAAAATGTCCAACCTGATATTTTTATCAGGTGAATCCAAAAACAACAAGAACGCTGTAATGATTTTTATTTTATTTTTTTAAATCCAAAGGCTCTCACATTCTTCACATCTACTTGGGATTAACCAGGCATTTCTGCAGGAAGTGACTCATGAGCGTGTATATATGGCGGTAGGCCGATCCACTCAGAGCATGGTTCCTGTCGGTGTACCACTGAAATGGACAGCACAGGTGGCATTAGTGCATACAGTACCATCGTACGTGTCTTTAATATGATCAGGTCATTTGGAACCTTCATTCCTTCGTTAAGTGACACGACATCAAGGTCAATATTAGCCCCACTTCTCTCAGCCAATATTTACCATGGTCTCAAAGTCCACCCCTGCGTTCACTAAGGCTTTGGAGATCTGGGCTGCCTGCTGGAAATGGACGTTATCTGGAGGGAAGACAGGACGGTGACTACGTGACTGAACATCAACACTCAGGTTTTCTATGCTTGTATTAGCCGCTAAACTGATAAGAACCAAGAGCACGAACAGTACAAGTGACAAACACTGGCCGAGGGACTCACCATCTGCTGTGCCGTGAACCAGGAGGTAGTCTACGCTCTTAAAATTATCTGCCCTGGCCGTCACTGTTGAATTCTTTTAAGAAAAAAATTATCACGACATGGATTTAGTAAAATTTTAACTGATTATTGTAACATAAAAATGAAATGAAATAAATAAAATGATTATTTTCACCATGTAACCGTCTGAATTCTCTGCAGGAGTTCCCATGTAGCGTTCAGTGTAAACTGCGTCTGCAGAGGAAAATCAATTTTACAATTGTTAAGTCAATACTGTGTTAACACAGACTTAATGAGACTGAGTCTAAATGAAGAAAAAAAAAAGACTAGGGGAAAAGAATGGACCTGGATTTACACAGACTAAAAATATATTATTTAAAAAAGTTGCTTAAAAAAGGAGATCACAGTTTAACTAACTCTCTCAACCTACGGCATCTCATGGTTACACTGCCATCTCACACTAAATTGGATTACGCTACAGTCCATTTTCTTTTTTTTTTTATTCTTCGGTATGGATCCAAAGCATAACTGAGTGACATGGGTACTTATATTCAGTATGTGAGTTACGACTTATCGCGGAAATCGAGTTACCGTAGAAACAGAACTCAGACCTAAAGTAAGGACCTAAGTAATAAAATGTGAAATATATTTTTCTAAATGTTCTTCAATGCAGGGGTCTCGACCCAAATTTTTCTAAATGTTCTCCAATGTTCTTCAATGCAGGGGTCTCGACCTCCAACAAGCTGAGGACCAGTGCTGCAAACATCACTGCATCTGAGGGCCACGCCAGTGTTAAAAAAAAATTATTCACAGACCCGATTTTGTGGGGTAGCGTACCAAAAGTGGCCCTGGGACTAAAGGTTTGACACATCCCATTTAAAGTCTGGACATTTCTGCCATATGTCATATTTCCTCTTGATAAATCAGAGTGATGTCTTTCACACCAGGTCACGACCTCCTTCTTTGTGTCATCTCTGGGCTTAAATGAAGTTTTCTCTAAAAAAACAGATCTAGATCTACATGTCCGTGTAGGTTCTCAGTCCAGGTCATTTTATCTGAAGCAGTTGAGACAAAGACAACTGGACTGCTGTTGATTCTACTATTTGTTGAATTAACTGCATTGACTGAAATCACAAGGTCAAGAAGAAACAAAGAAGAAAAAAAAAACCCAAACTGGGCTGAAGATAAAACCAAACAGAACTCTGTCAGTTGGACAGAGAGACACTGAAGTCAAACATCAACAAAGACAAAGACAGAGGCAGAGGGGTGTTTTTATATAGTTACATAGACCCAGGGCACCAGGTGAGACCAGTGAGACTAATGACACACAGCTGACTGTGATCAACCACTAATCAGGGAGAGAGGCAGACAGACAGACAGACAGACAGACAGGCAGACAGGCAGACAGACAGCAGTGGTAGATCAGCAGAGCTGAGGTTTCTGTTCAGGTCTTATTTAAGGTTCATTGTGTTTCTGGGTAAAAAAGATAAATAATATTTTTTAGGTTTATAAAACCTGGACAATGAAAAGGTAACACACCTCCAGAGACGGAGACGACGCTGAACATGTTTTAGTGATTAAAGCAGGACACGTTCACAGAAGCTTTGGACCAACATGAACCTGTTTGACTCTTGATGACATTTCAGGAAAAAAGTCAACCCTCAACCCTTAGACCTGGATAGAAGTGTCTGGAAAAGAAGGAGTTCTTCTGACTGGTAAGTATAATTTGTGATGCCAATTAACATCGTCCTGAAGAGTTTATGGACTCAATCACAGCTTTTATGTCGCCCTTAAAACGTGAAGGGAAATTACGAAGCCACTCACAGGAAATTTAAACAGTAAATTTTGTCAGGAGTGGGTGTAAAATGAGTGGAGACAGTGTCTGTGGATAAATAAGAAACTCTGACATCATCCTCTGTTAACACAAAAATAATAAGACCCCACCCTCTTCAGAAAAGACCCCAATCATAAAATGATAAATCAAATTAAGAAAATATTTAATTTTGCAGCCGGACGGCTATGTCTATTTCTTATACATAGACAACAACTTACAGTAATGTGTAGTCAAAAAACCTCAGTAGGTCATGGCTCCAAATGACCCCCAAAAACCAAATGACTTTAATTACAACCCCAGAACTGAAACCATTTGCCCCCAGTGTCTCTGTAAATTAGATTCACTCACCATAATATTCCCATTTTGCTACCGGTGCAACAGCAATTCCACATTTGAAGAGTCCAGTTCCCGCTCCCAAAGCCATGGAGGAAACATAGCCACCGTAAGACTGAAGGTCAAAGTTCATCAAATATAGTCATTAGAATATATTTATTAAATACATACAGGTGACAGGGGGAAGAAATGAGAACGAACTGAACTGAACTCACCCAGCCCCATATTGCGATTCTCTCTTTGTCGATAAAACCCATGTCAATAAACTTCCTGAAAAACAAACCAAAAGAAATCATTTTTGTAATTTGTAAATGCTCTAGTGTGAAATCAAAATCACAGGATTCTGCACCATGTTATCCCCAATTTTTTAAGTCAAACTCATGTAAGTGATATGTCAGCGGTCATTTGGACCAATCAGATTGTTTGAACAGTCACTGTTGCAAGACCAGGTCCATTTACTTTCAATCTTTCCGTCTACATCTGTGGTTTTCACAGTTGAAGTACGTGCTTCATCATTTTGACCATTAAAAGAAAACTTCAAGTTTTATTCAAGGTTTTTCAAACAAAGGTCGGTGTAAACTACTCCAATATGCCGATAATGATCAAACACTTAATTTCAGATTCCAATATCAACCGATATTGATCTATGCAGCTGTTTTTTCTTGCGGTAAACATTATCGACCATCTCTAGTTTTTTTCTCCTCAAAAGTATTTTGTATTTTGACTTATATATTAATGATAAAAGTGTAGAAACTTGAACTAAAGATAAAGTCACATTTGTGACTCGGTGGATCAACCCTGACTGAGTTACAGACGCCTCTTTTGACAAAACCCACCAACATGAAGGGAAAACAGTGACGCCGGTCGACCTTGGAAAAGAAGCTGTGCCTGTGTGTGATGACGGTTGTAGAGGGCAGTAATGAAGTTGTGGAGATCTGTCCTGTTCATTTGGACTCTGTGGAATTGAATTACTCATATCTGCGTGCAGACCATTGAACAAATGTTGGGAGGAGGGCTCGTCGTCCGTGCTCTACCTGACAGCGGTTATCTGATCTTCCACTTCAAACGTCCCCAGGCGCTTGTAGATTGCGTGCATGATTTCATCACCCTGGTAACCGCTTCCCCGGCCGTCAAAGCTGGCAACGATGATGTCATACGTGCTGGACAGGTGTGTGGCCCAGTTCAGCTTGAACTTGTAGCTCACCCTCTGACTGCAGGGGCCGCCGTACCTGCAGAGGGGAGCGAGGAGACGGTGAAGTCCATTCACACACACACGTGGTGACATCAAGGCAGAGAGGAGAGGGGAGAGCATCACTCACACGTCGATGAGAAGAGGATATTTTTTAGATTTCTTGAAATTGGGTGGCAACATCATCTGGTACCACAGATCTGTGTGAGAGGAAAATACAATTAGAAAAACTGAATTCATTAACAAGAGACAGAGCAATCATTCACACTGAAAAACAAAAGTTTTAGGACAGCTGCACTTTTATCACATTATATCTTCCTGGTGTCACCAACAGCTCAGTTTTTTTTTTTTTTATGTTTGTGTCACCAACACCTCAGTTTTATTTTTATAACTTTGTGTAATGTTTTTTCTATTGGTCATTTAAAACCCATGAGAACAACTATTTTAATCTTAAATATAGTTCTATAATATTTTTCCAGTCCTGTTGACCGAGTTACAATGCTAATTTATTTGGTCTTTTCAAAAATATTGAATTAAAAGTAAGTTTCCCAACTTAAATGTAATATTTCCACAGTTAAAATCGTAAATCTCTTCACTGTTGTTAAACACACAACAACACTTTTCACTGAAGTAGGAAAAAAATCTATTTACATGGACAATAATAATAATAATAATAACAATAATAATAATAATAACAATAATAATAATAATAACAATAATAATAATAATAACAATAATAATAATAATAACAATAATAATAATAATAACAATAATAATAATAATAACAATAATAATAATAATAACAATAATAATAATAATAACAATAATAATAATAATAATAGTGAGTGTTTTCTCACCAAACCCTGCGACCTGCAGTGTGCCGTGGTGAATCTTTGGCATTTGAAATTCAGACAAAATGTTTTCCAGCTCCTTGTTGTCCTCGAGGATCGTTATTTCTGTGAAAGACAAAAGAAAAACAACTTAAGTTTAAAGAACTTACTACGAGTACACATTTGGTAACAGAACCAAGTCCTTTTTAGAACCCCGAGACTTTCAGAACTGTCAACTGCAAACATAATAATTCCAGTCACATCACCTTCAAATTTAAAGAACAGTTAACAGATTAACATGATGCAGTTAACAGTGTATTTATACGTACGCGTCACACTCGGGCCTCGATTGTCCATGAGTGAGTACACGGGAAGTCCAGGACCTGGCACAAAAAAATAAATAAAATAAGGCTGTTTTTTAAATCACTGATCAGACATGACTTCTGATGCGCGGCTGCGTTAGCTCAGAGTGATGCGTCGGGGACGCTGCAGCCCACACATTAATTCCTACACATTAACCACGGGTGAGTCATTGCACATGGGAGGGACAACAGGGAGAAGTGGACGACGGGTGAAACTGACCGTAGCAGTCCATCCGGTAGAAGGAGGCGTTGAAGCTGAAGTAGGCAGAGTTGTACTGACACCTGTCGTCGTACAGGTCACAGGTCAGGCACTGCATGTTGGAGTAGCTGCTTCCGATCGTTATCCTGGTCAACAAACCAGCCAGTAATCAGGGAGCGTGACATCATTTAGTTTGTGTTACTGCGCCTTTAATACAGTAGGTCTATCGCAGCGCGGATTGAACGGAGGATTAGAAAACTTTCACTCACCTGTAAAGGTTTCTCTTCACAGGACTGGCTTGATGCTCATTACTCACAAAATATCTAAAAAAAGTAACTTACATGAGTAACTTTTACTTACAGTATATAGAAATAGAAGTTGTATGACATCATGGCTTACATGGCGTCTTTCGTTAATTTGGAAATATAGATGACTTCCCACTTCCCAGAGGTAACAGGAAGTGCTTTGCCCTTAAAACAAACAAACACTTTTGATTAATAAAACACTGAATGATTTGTCTTTTTCTGATAAAAAGAAAAATTCAAAGGAGTACAATATGGTTATCATATGTGCCTGCCTAACATTTTTGCCCAGCACTGCATTTTTGAGGTGGTATTAACTTTGGCTGAAGTAGAAAAAATATTTCAAGCTCATGTGAAGAACTCTTTGCAGCAAGGTCATATTTTGACGTCAAATGTGCCAGTTCTTATATGAATTTTTAGTTATGAATATTGTTTATTTTATTCATATTATTTCACCCAAACATCCAACCAATACTGGACCGGCCTGTTGGTCAAATTTTGGACCTCATTTTGTCCCATGAGTCAAAAAGTTTGCCCACCCCTGGAATAGAAAAAAAATGTAGTATGTATTTGTAATACTAACAATGGAGCAGGGGGTTCATAGACTACTAGAATAAATACAAACACAAATAAAAAAATGAGTGGACTTTTATAACCTCGCCTCACACCTGCTGCTTGTACCAGGTGTTTTTGTTGCTGGTACTCGGGCCTTTACAAATAAAAAAAATGAGTGGACTTTGTGTTTTTGTTGCTGGTNGTAGTGGACTTTGTGTTTTTGTTGCTGGTACTCGGGCCTTGATGAATTAGTGTATGTTTTGCTGATGCTGCATTACTGCATCTTGTACTTACATTTTTGACATAATGGATGTGCTTATATCCACGAGAGTCACTCATCACTTTGTAGAAGCTGAGGTTGTCTTCAGCAAAGAAGAGAGGTAAGGGCACGTACTGGAAACAGTGATGAAAACGAGCATCAAACCACAAGACAACGACAGGATCGTCACGAGCAGGTGACGGTCATTTGACAACTTACGTGACCGATCCAGCCGGTACTGCTGGCTTGTTCAAACGCCTACAATGAGAGTAGACACGTCGCTGTTTCAATCCTCAAGTATATTTTATTACTAGTAGATAATAAAGACGACAGAAATGGCAGAAACCTGCACTTCCTTCCAGCGGCTTCCGTCAGAGTCGTAGATCTGAACCACAAGGTAGTTCTGCTTTCTGGTGAGCCACTGCACAGCCACGCGTTCATCTGTAACCCAGGTCACTGAGCACAAAATGTGATCACTGAGTAAAGGCAACAGAAAGTGACAGGGCTTTCACATAAGGCAGACCATGGAAATACAAAGGTATTTGCGTCTGCTTTCAGTAGTAGTACAACTGGAGGAAAGTGAAGAATCTACGCACCCAGAAGAAATGGACTCAGGGGCAAACACCTGTGTGCGCTGGGACGGATTGGTGGTGTCAACAACAAAGAGTTTCGCCTTGGTGAGGTTCGATCCCGCCTGTGATAAACGTTCTCTCGTTACACATCCACAAATTATTACTTTATAAAATGTATAAAGTGAGGAAAAGCTCCTACCTTTGGATATGGGAAAGTGATAGTTTGAGGATATTGATCCGTTCCGTACCAGGAGAACTCCACCTTCTGAACGTCTGTGTCGTTTAACTCTAAATAGGCCAAGTATTTTCCACTGGTCGACCACCAGATTGCTCCGTTTGAGGCAAACACCTCCTCTGAAATTGGTCATTCACTGAAACCAGGCAATTGCTACGTATAAGCAATTATATATGCCAACATAAAAAGAAAACAAATACCTTCATAGACCCAGTCGGGAATGCCGTTAAGGATCTCATTCTTTTTCCCATTGTTAGTCACTTGTACAGTTTCAGCAGAGACCTCTGGTTTGAAAAACACATTGTAGTCCGAGACGTAAGCCTAGAAAAAAAAACACCACAAATGGACCGTTTAAACAAATTTGTTACAATATATATAGGAGGAATACCTCAGGGACATTCATGGTCATACTGAGGAATACAGTAAAATCCACGATGCAGGTAGATTACCTGACTCTCTCAGTGTGGTTATGGCATTTACTCACAAATTTGTTTCCTTTTGGAGCCCAGGAAAAGTACTGCACAACAGTAGGAAGATTCACTCCTGTGACAAACGTCCTGTGACAGATAAATCAAACTATTGGTGCCTCTGCTCTTGTGGCATTTTATCACTGAAGACGCCTTAGTTCAATAAAAATTTGTGAAAAAATGAAAAGTAAAAAACCCGTCTACTTACGAAGTTTCTCTGTCGTAGATGGAATATGACGCTGTGAACGAATGTCTCCAGTTCTGCCGGGTTATACACAAACATCTGTCTCAGACATAAATCTTAGGATTCGACGAAAATCTGTTTGACAAGACACATACACACACACACAACTGACGTGTGGATATTCACAAAGTGGTTTCTCACCTCTGTGTAGTTGCTTTCGAAAGCAATGTATTTATAATCACCAGACAGCAAGTAATCTGAGGCATCCACCTGAGCCTGGAGTGAAAACAGAGATTAAAGATTAAATATCTTAAAACTTTTTTTCCTGCAGTAATATATAATGTATGTGTTACAAAAAAATAAAAAATAAAATTACAAAAGTGGAGTTGCTCAAATAAAGTGATTCCTCTTGCGTTTCAGCGTTGTGGAGAAAGATGTTTCCATCTCTCGTCTTGTGCAGAAACTCTTTATCTGCAGATGGGAAGTACATTTAATATAAAGATACAAACTTTTAATTATGTTGTGTCATAACGACTGAAATCTGAGACTCAAAAAATCACAGATTCACTTTTTAAAATTAATTGCAATTGGTTCAAATGATATAACTATAATTATTTTTTTTAAAGTCATAATAATTTGTGATGAATAGAAAAAAACCTCCAGTCAAAAACAAGTGGCTGGTACCTGATATCCAGTATAAATTGTAGGCTCTCCACCTGATGGTGTCATTGAAGTAGTCGTCCAGTGTGTATGGCCTTTTGGGTCCTTCACGTTCTGAAATCATTTAAATGATCCATCATTTCAATCATAACAACCCCATGAAAACAGTGACAACCAATTTATTACAAATCGTTGTCAAACACTGAGCCATGTTACGTTTCATTTAATTGGGTTTTTCAATCTCAAAATGAATAATTTTAAAATTAGAAGCAAATAACAACCATAATTTGAACAAACATTTGAAGCTCAGGTTGTGACCTGGTTGTTTATTTCATCAATCAACATTTAAATTTATTTATTTTTTGTTCTGCTTTTTCTACTATTTTTAACCATAATGTCCTCCTATCTGTGGGTTGTGAACTCAATGATTCTTTCCTGGTCAAATAATGGTTAAATAAAAAAAATACTTGAACAAAAAACAATACAAACAAGATTAAAAAAAAAACTTGAACAAAAAACAATACAAACAAGATGGTGTCAATTATGAGGTTTAAACGGAACATCTGCAGGGTGGTGTGCACACTTTTTTCTGTTAAAGGATGTTTTTTAATCGAACACTAAGAACTAGTGAGAGTCTCGGTCACAGGGGGGCGCTGTTTGCCAGCTGCAACCTCAGGCATTAGGAGGGAATTTAAATAAATCACATGTTCGTCACTTAATGAAAGTCAAATGGACGCGTAACGTGAACCATGTCTGCGGAACAAAGGGGGAGAATGTGACACAAACTCGACTTTTACAAGTCGGCGTGAAAGAAAATAAAAAAATTTAAAGCCGTCTGCGCTGAAAGAAGAAGCGTCTGCAGCTGACACACATACACACGCACATACACAGGAGTGAAAATGGAAAAAATACTGACTGAAAATGTGCTGAGCTTGAACTTACTGCTGTAATAAACTGCAGGGATCGTTATTAGCACGATGACGACAGCCGCCCCCACCACCCCCCACAGCACCTTACTGCAGACCTGGGAGGGGGACACACACAAAAGTGACACAAACACAAGCAGGGAGCTGTTTTTGTTGTTGTTGTTTTTTTAAAATAATCGTTTTCCAATAATCAGAAATTTTTTTTTAAATAATCGATTTCCAATAATCAGAAATTTGCGTCCTAGTAAAAAACAACAACACTCGACTAGTACACAAGAGAGAGTACAGAGTACTGACCATGCTGCAGATGGAGTCGCAGTGAAGATCTCAGACTTCAGTAATCCTCACAGGTTTCTGGAGTTGACTTTGAAAAAACTTTCCTGGACGCGCAGCCGTGTAACCATACTCCTAATGAAAAGAAAAACACCCACAGCTGTCACTTTGAAGCAGCAAATATATAAAAAAAATGTAAGAAGTGCGAGCCTCTCCCTTCTTTAGGTTATGGAGCAGACTCCCTATTCCTCCCGCTGCATTCCAGAGTGGAGTTCCACAGCAGACAGGTCCAGCCTGCAACTTTCCAGGAGCGCAACAACTTTCTGTCCTTTAGGAAGTGGCTTTTCAGCGAGGGCGCAGCTCATCCAGCCACGCCACTGTCAGGACCCACAGAAACCCACAAGTGGTCATTTACACCACTCCACTGTGTCATTTACAGAAGGGGTTTCATTGTGTTTGGAGACGAGGTATTTGATCTTAGGAAAAAGAAAAAAAAAAAACCCAAAACATATATATAAAAAAATGACAGGGTGAGAGAAAGAGTAGCAATTTAGTGGCACCGCTTACAGTATCCTCACCACGAACACATTTTAATTACAAAATGTCACAAAAATATCCAAACAAATAATAAAATATTTAGGTATGTGTTTCATATAATTAACAAAAAAAAAACAAACATTTTACATTCTTTTAATTTACCAATGAACTCGTTGGGGGGTTGGGGGCGCTGCAGCCAATCCTGGCAGTTAATGGGCAAGGGTGGGGTCAGAATTAAAGTAAAAATAAATACATTTTTGACAATAGAAAATCAATTTTTCAACTTTTGGTTATTGAATTAAATCCTGTATTATAAAGCAATTTTTTGTTTGAATGTAATATATAAATATATATATGTATAGACTCTAAAGATGGCTGGTCCACTTAAAAGGCTAGGTACCACTGATGGTACTTAGTCTAACAGTGTGTGGAGAACCAGTTGTAGTGTGATCTGATGTACAGAGTTTAAGAACCACAGGTTGATAATGACACCATTGTTACATAAACATTCTTTGGAAATATAATTGAAGTAAATATCAGCTCTTTATAGTTAATTCCCAATATGTGTTAAATCAAAAAAGGAACATCTTAAAATTGTTTTATGTAAATAATCTATAATAGTCTATAATCTATAAATATATGAATATATATTTACAGATACATGTATTAACTGTATGTTTTCTGGCACATCGTTAGCATTGAAGCGACAAGTCTCTCGGGATGGCGTTGCTTTCAAAGACTGAACAAATTGATTGTAATATTTTTCCAGTTTTTAGGTGACCACTCATTGAGAATAAAAGTGTCGCTGTGAACCATGACAAACATAAAAATAATTTAGTTCTATAAAAAGCCATGCCGTACGCGGCTCAGTAGTTGTGACTCATGAACAGTTGGATTTCATGGAGACTCGTCAGCATCTGTTTGTCTGTATGTGTGATGACAGGTGGGCTCTGAGGGCCGATCATCAGCTCACTTCTCTGGAGACTTCAGACGAAATGTATTTTTAATTATTTTTGCCATTTTATTTAAAGACACCGGACACATTTAATTTTATGATGTTGTAACATTTCACCCATGAAGTAATTTTATTGCATGACATTAACTTAAGAGGCCTGAGATCACATTCAATGAGAAATAGTTAAAGACACATACAGGCCAATGTAGAAGGCAAAGAATCGTTTCACATTCATTCTAGAATGAATGTGAACCGATTTTGCCGTTACATAAATCATGCATTTTTAATATCAAATTAAATTTGAATCCCCTTTTGAATAACCACATTTAAGTTAAAAAGCTAATGTAAAAGCATATCCCTCTCAGTATTAGAAGACAAACACGACTGGTTGCAGTAACTACAGTCATAAAGTGGATTAGTCATACAATGAAGAAATGGGAAAAAGTGCAAAAAATGTGCAAAGGAGGTTCAGGCAAGAGGTGAGCAGTGACCAGTGAGCAGCAATTTGGTTTTATGCCCAGGAAAAATACTGAAGATATTTTTTTGCTTTGAGAGTTCTGGTAGAAATCCAGAGAAGAACGGAAGGAGTTGCACTCCACTGTTTTTGTGGACCTCGACAAAGCATACGAGGTACTGTATGACACAATTCAGAGTGGCAGAAAAGTATGTGAGGGTAGTGTAGGATATGCAAGACAGTATTTAGGTGTGCTGCCGGAGCGACTGATGGGTTCAAGGTAGTGGTTGGGTTACATCTGGAATCAGCTCCTCGTTTGCTACACTAATTTGAAGATTGACAGATGAGGTTATGTAGGAGGCTACATGTATCATGACATTTGCAGATAACACTGGCCTCTGTGGTAAAGAATAGTTGGATGAAAGGAATGTAGGTAGAAAGGAATGTAGGTCAGCAGGAGCAAGACAAAGTACATGAGTATAAATGAGAGTGAGGCAAGTGGAATGATAAAGACGCAAGGAGTAGAAGAAGTAAAGATGGATGACTTTAAATACCCAGGGTCAACCATCCAGAAAGTAAAGATGGATGAGTTTAAATACCCAGGGTCAACCATCCAGAGTACTGGACTGTTTACAATAAAGGTGGAGAAAAGGGTGTAGGCAGGGTGGAATGGATGGAGATGAGTGTCAGGTGTGACAGGTGACAGAAGAATAGCAGCAAAGTTGAAAGGGATGGTTTATAAGTCAGTAGTGATGACACACTGTGGCGACCCTTGAAGGAAAGAGTCAGAAAGCATAAAACAGCAGCAAGTAGGTTTTAGTAATATCCAAGTGTGTCTGCAGAATCTTTTTCAAGTCAAGCCCAGTTTCTGCGTATCATAGTTTGCCGGCTTCATTCTGTGTCTTCATCATCCGAGCCCTCGGCCAGCCTCATTGCATATTCGCTGTAGTCGAAGGAGGGAAATTTGACAGGAAGGTCGGCCCACCTGGTGCAGTTGGGAATCTTCTTTCCATTCAACGTTACAACAAAGTTTTTCACAAGGAGGCAGGGACACTCGATTGAGCGATAGTTCATCATTGTACCCCAACTCTGCAATAAAAGGGATTTATGAGCAAATGAGTCAGTCCACACAAATGTAATTACATATAAATAGATAAATTGAAAAGTCAGTTTACCCTCCCGCAGGTCTTGCAGGCTATGAAGGCAATACTCTCAAAATCAAGACGTCTTTCTTGCAAAGAAGTGTTTTCTCTTTTTACGTAGAGTTCACTTAAAAAAACAAAACCAAAAAATAAATAAATATTTTATATCACACCATTGGTTGCTCATAATGAGAATACAACTACAGCGATACCTCGGGGCACAAACTTATTTCTTTCACTGTGTTTGCGACCCGAAAAGTTGGTGCCCAGAATCAAATTTTTCCATTGCAACTAATGTAAATCCAATTAATCGGTTCCGTAGCCTCAGAAACATGTCTCAACAGTAATATGTTCAGGATTTTTAACAGCACTTTTACATTGGGAGCCATAATAAGTGATAAATCTGATGAACCTCTCATGTGAGCAGCGTTAGTAGTGGCGTGTGTTTGTGAATCGTAGCATTGTTCGTGAAACAAAGAAACAAAGTAGTTCTGCTCAGAAATACTGTTCGTAGTCTCAAATTCTGCTCAGAAATACTGTTCGTAGTCTGATTTGTTTCTGAACAGGGACGTTCATGACCGAGGTATCACTGTACAATACAGTAGATTTTATACCTAAACTGCGTTGTTACATTGACTTTGTGTGCATTTTCGATGACCTGGATGTCTTCACCGGTGCAGACCTGGGTGCTGCAGCCTCGACAGCTGAACATCACCTGAGATGGTTTCTCGTTCTTCATGCTTTTCTGTTTCTTCTTTATCTTCTTAACCTTCTCCTCCATTAATGCTTGAGCCTGAAAGTCTCTGATCTAATAAAAGACCACGTCACTAACAGGAAGGCCCCACCCCCCACACAGCCCAGATACGCAACAGAGTCCTATTGTACATACCTGCCTGTCATATTCCTTTGGATCTAAGGCTTTTATATTTTTGATAGCTTTCTCCATCAAGATCAGGCGGTGTTCATTCACATGTTCCTTTTCAGTCACACAGGAGTTTTTTACCTCCACCACAGTGTAACTGCTGTCGTCAGCTCTTCCTCGGCCTTTAGCCTATGGAAAATAATAGTTCAGTACACAGAGAATGGTTGACCACACATCAATAAACCCAGCTCCCTCCCATCATTACCTGAATCATAGAGATTTCATTGGTGACAAGGCCGTACCGGATAACAAAATTACAGTCTGGTATATCCAGACCTTCCTCTAGTACGGACGTAGCAACCAGCAGGTTTATGTCACCTTTGTCGAACTTCTTCAACATGGCTGACCTCTCAGTCTGGAAAACACACATGTGCATTGTGTACCCCAACACATCGTGACTTTTTACTTTTCAGGACTACTGCATGTGATCTACTAATTTATGTCATACTTGCATCAGGATAAAAAAATAGCTCTGTAGTGACAAAGCATGACACCTGGTGCCTAATGCTTCAGGCAAATATGTACTCACGGAGGTCATTGGTTTAACAACACTCTGGCCTCCTCCTCCAATGATATATGAGGCCTTCACACCAATGTCGGCAAACTTGGGGTTTTCCTGAATCCACTGGCTGAGAGCAATGGTACTGCGGCGTGTTTTAGTGAAAATGATTCCTCTGGCCTTCTCCCTGGTGCTGAACTCTCGCAGAATTGAGTGCCTTAGGTTACAAAGGCTGTCATTTTCATACTGCTGATTCTTCGCCAACTTCTCCAACTCTTCCTTGTTCTCTGCAAGACACATGAAGAAGTGGCTCATTTTTGAGGTACACAGTCTAGTATGGTCTGTTGGTAAACTGTTAATGTTGCACTACACTTGTTATGAGATTTAAGCTTTTAAAACATAAAAACCTTTAATTTATGAAGTATTCATTTTATTTATTGAGGGTGACTGTTTTGAAAGAATATAGTCAACTTGATTGGATGTCTAAAAGAGCAAGAATTTACTAAAGCCAGTACCTGCAGGCTAGTAATGTTATTATTATGATACAGTGTTAAGGGTCCACTTATAAACCTCTCAGTGATTCAGTCAGAATGTCAGACAATTATGTTACCTTTAAACAAATGGAAGAGGAACCTTTCGGTCTCTGTGATCTGTATGGTCTGCCCATCGTCATTAGGAGTTGTTTTCTTCCTAATCTCTTCCACATGGAATTCATTCAGAAACACCAGAGCATCGCACATGCGTATGGTGTTGCTGAGGTTCAGGCCCTCGTTGTAATGACGAAGGTGTTCTGCACAAGCCTGGACTTTGTGATCTTCCTCCATAGCAGCTAAAAATAAGATAAAAAATAAGATTAGACAACTTCCACTTGTGGAGTAGATCAGAAGCTCAGTCAAAGTCTATATAAATATACAGTGTATAATACACTGTTTCCTACACCTACCTTTTCTCTCAGTTTCAACAATCCATTGTTCATAATTCTGAGAACCAAGGTCACAGCTGGGGGTCAGCTGGGCATGAGTATGAATGCTGTTCATGATGTTTTTAATGACATCACCAAACGGGTCCTGGGAATGTATTTAGTTGTATGAAAACATTACACGGTAATACACACACTGTTACAAAATGCTACTAAACAAATTTACCTCTTTTCTATCTTCAATCTTCAAAACCAACTTTCTCTGCTCCTTTTTAAGACTCTCTGGTGTCGCCGTCATTATTCTGGAAGCATCTAAGTTTGCACAGATCTATAACAGAGACAAAGAGTTTTATTGGTAGCACAGATATAAAACTGAAAAGAGATTGTTGTTTTTATTTTGGATGAATGAAACTTCATGTTTTAAGGTGTAACAATAGAACCAGCCTGGCAGGACAAACAGGATCGTCCATGTTTCAGGCAAAGAAACTGGGGCAAAGATTAGAGGAACTCAGATCACAGAGGGGAAAATAAAAAAAAAGTCCATTGCGGCAGCTGAATAAGAATATAACCAGAAATACATTTTCTGTGTTGACAGCAAAACTATTTTGCAAGTCATATTGTGTCAAAAGATTTTTGACCAACATCTTTCCACCATGTCTGTCATTTTTTCTTCTAATATGCCAACAATGCCAATCAAAAATTAATTATTCATGTATACACAAGCCAAAACTGACTGACTTCAAACGCAGCATTGGGCCCAAAAGCAAACTTGGAAACTTGCATTCCAAAAACCCAACCACTGAGTGGCCGGCACAAGGCTCTGACTTAAATTCCAAAGAACATCTGTGGATTGAATTAAAATACCCAGGTGCATGACAGAAAAACGTACAAATTCTGGAGGAACATGAGAGAGTCACTGAAGAACGATGGGCTGGTGTGTCTCAGGGATTTACCTGTAAGTACTCCAAACAACTGCTTCTTGTTCCATAGGCAACACAAAAGACTGCATGCGTTTTAAATAAAGCTGATTTGTTCTGTTTTCTCTTTACAAGGTACCTTGGCAATACAGTACTTTAAAGGTATACATTAATTTTCTTGGGGTATGTGGAAAAACTATTTTTGTGGGACGCAGGGGGCTGGATGTTTGCGACTTGTGGTTTTTGTATTTCATTTTTAAGGGGATTTTATTTTTCCCCTACCGTATAATACATTTCAAAGTCCCTGCGGTCTGGAACCAATCACAGCAATTGACCAGCAAAAAACCCGAGCACTCAACCATTCGACTCAGACTAACTTTGGTGAAAATTAACTAATCCTGCATGTATTTGGACAGTGGACAGCAATTGGAGCATAAGCTCCACCCAGAAAGACCAGGAACTGAACGATCCTGCTCCAAGCTAGGCTTCCACCACCTAAGGATGTTGAAGTCAGTGCACTGCAGCATAATTAACAATATCTAGTTGCATTCACCTGCAGGATGTACTCCTCTGCCTGCTTTGTCTTGGTTGCTTTCCCGACCCCGGGTGAAGCGGTCAGACTCAGTATCTGAGGCAGGGGCACGGGTTCTTTGCCCTCCTTCTTCTTCCGTATGTTGGTGTGCTTCTTCCGCAGGTAGCGCATCATAATGCTGTTGTAGACGTCGCCCTTCTGAGTGTGATGACACTCGTCTATTACAAGCAGACTCAGATCTACGGAGGCAATGGACAAGACAGATGAAGCAATGATTTAATGTGAAGTAGAAGGACACTCTGATTCATACAGTACGCCTTTTTAATGAAACATTGTTCCACTAAATCACAAACGCACAGGGTGTTGTCTGTTTAACTTGCAGCGCAAAGTTGAAGATTATTGCCTAGGAGGAGAAATGTTTACATCTTTAGATGACAGTTCACCAGAGAGAAGAGCTATTTTCAAATTTCAGACTCTCTTAACTAAATACAGGTGATCCACAGATTATAGTACATTTGTTTAAAAAGATCCTCCCACACAAACCAGCTTTTTCTTCCAGGAACAGTTGACGTATCAGCCACACAATTACTATATACGTCTTTAAAAATAACTTGTGTATTTTACAGACGCACACGCCACTGACCGATGTGAAAGACAATCACTGGTACACACACGTTTCCTCAGAGTGATACACATCTGTCACTGGAGAACAGAGCAGCGAGAGTGGCAGCTTGATGTGCTGTGTGTGATGGAAGCCCTCATGTGAATTTGATCAGCCACACGCTGATGGCTTGAACAGACGCGTGGCCTGGAAACCAGGAGATGTGGGTGTAGGGGTTGGGGGAGTGCACACGCTCTCAGGCGTTTCAGCAAACAGCATATGTTCCACTGAGGTGGCTATTCCACCTTGGAGTGGTGAGAGCCAATAGGAGTGAACGGAAGAGATGACACACTCTGACAGATCCTGTCAGGTATCATCAGGGGAGAAGCTGCAGAGATGAGTCCTCACTGTGGTTTTTCTGCTTCCAAGACTTATCATAGTCTTCACTTTCTGGTTTTCATAAAGTCATGCTCACTTGTTTTAGGCAAAGTCATGATTTTCCTGTGGTGAAAGTAAAAATATTTCTGGATAGAAAATTAATTTTTTTACTATTGTTAAGTCTCCTACCGCTTAAGTTCACGCCTTCGTCTTCTCCTTTGTTTGACAGTTCCAGGGAGTTTTCCAGGATCTGGGCTGTGCAAATGACGACGTCGTTTTTCTTAATGATCTCTGTAAAAGAGATTTTCAGCTGGCAGTCTCCGCTGACTCTCTCCACTTTATATGTGGACTTCAGTAACGGCAGGAACTCAGCGGAATAATGCTGCTCCACCAGAGGAATCTGCAGGAAACCATAAAAAATGATGTGTATAATGAGAGTGACACAGCAGGTATAATTTTTTTATTATTATACAAGGATTAGCTGTTTCAAACAGTGTTTTGTTAGTGTTTTGCTAACACTAGTAGTAAAACATCTGTTCCATTACATTTGTTTGTTTGTTTAGTCATGCCATTTCATAAAATGAATGCCCTGTAGGTAACACACATTCAGTAGCAATTTCAATTCCTCTTCACACAAAGGATTTTACTTTTATACATTCGTTTTATTGTGGATAGGGACAGTGGTGGTCCACAAACCCATTTTTGTTTGCAAAAACTTTATGCTAACTCTTTTACAGAGGGTAAAAACAAGTTCTTGTAACTAGAAATGTGAGTACTTTACCAAACTACAGAAATGAGTTTTTCACTGCATTTTTGAGACTTTTCAAAACAGGGCGTCTCCTGGTCTGTTTTTATTTCTGCATAGTCTGTGATGTTCAGTGAGTGTTTGTTCATGATCATGAATAATAACTGCAGCATCTATGATTTAATGGACAGTCATGCACACAATGATTTATTCATTTTAATATGAACGTTTTATGACTATCCAGCCACATTATGACTTCTTTCTAGTGCTGAATAATGATGACATCAACAGCACTGTTTTTAAGCCAGAATATTTGATTTGAATTGGAACACAGTGTTTTTTCACTCTACACAGAGTGAATCACATTCAGTACGTACCAAATAGTTACAAAGTGAAGGGGAAAATCTAAACCTCATGGTTTGTTGTTGTGGGGAGTCGACCCACATATACAGTTCGTACTGAAATCTTACTGAAGTGTTTTGTGTGACCATGAAAAGGACAGGAATAGGTTACCATTGCAGTGCAAAGCCATGAATCTGGCACATCAGACTCAGGTTGCAGTACCTTGTTCACTAGGACGACAACCTTTCCAGACATCCCCTCTGCCCTCCTGCTGTCCAGATGTTTTTTGGTAATATAAACTGCCACTCTGGTTTTACCACTTCCTGTCGGGAGGCATACGATGATGTTTTTCCCCTCTAAGGCAGGTCTTGCGACGTCCATCTGATAATCCCGAAGACTAATATCTGCACTCTCCGGGCCTCCGGCTGCAGCCGCTGGCTCGGCTCCATCTGAAGTACAGAATAGAGGTTTAGACAAAATGTCTCTCTGTCAGCAACCCACAATTACAGCGGTAAAAATACTGCCCTCGTCATTGCTGGTTTTGGTTTTGTAGTGGAATGTTTTCTCACTGCTTCTATTGAAAACCTACTTCACAAAACAAACAAGAACTAACTAGAATAGCCATAAATCGATGTGCTTCTCTAACAGCCAAGCTGGAGCTTCCACTGGATCAGGTTTACAAAATACCAACAAAAGTCCAATATGTGAAACAGATGTGGAATTTCACAAACCAAAATACACAAATGGACAATAATTATAGCCTGTTATAAATAAAACACTATAAGGTAAGAATATTTTAAACACATTTAAATACATTTATTTTTAAATGTCAAGTAAACTATCAGAAGTGAAATCTACTAGTCAATATTGGGTTTGACCTCTCCTGACCTGGCCTGATGATTTAATGTGGCTCGATCTGTGATTGTTTGCTTTACATTCTGTAAATGATTTAAAAATTCATTTTTATGGGCCCCACTTGGCTTGGTGGGTACCAATCAAAATTATTTCAGTGTTCTCTTATTTGCTTTATCATTTTATTTCCTTTGCACAATAAGAATAAGTATGTAGAAATTTCAGTGTTTCCAATAAAGTTTGGTGGAGTTTCAAAGCAAAAGCTCTGGGGGCCTCAAAGAATCTTCCTAAAAAAAGGGAGGTGCTGCAGAAAAGGTTTGGAAAAGACTGCTATGGAACATTTCTCAATAAATGTTTTGCTTAGCAGTTGGATGAGCATCTACATAAATGAGTCTCTTTTAGGATTTTAACCTAAATGAGTCTGTTTATATTAAACATGCAGTTTCTATAAAATTATATGAGTGACTTATGGTTAATTTATGGTGTGAATTGAATTAATGTTTTTAATGACAGCAGACTTAATACGATCCACTTTCTCACAATGACTCATGTACTCTGTCTGGCCTGTGGCTTTCGGGCAACTGTGCACCATGTGCACACCATCCATCTACAGTTTCCCAAAGTTATGAATACAAACCCCCCACAATGTTACATTTTTCCTCTAGTGCAGTCAGTTTTTAATTTCCCAGACTTGGCATACCAGAGGTTAAAGGGAAATTTCAAGTAACTGCATAAATATGTCTGTGCAGACGGAGAGAACTGGAGAACCAGAGAGAGCTTTTATAATAAGAAGTAAACATAAGCCCAGACACTGAAGCTATTACATAAAGGAAGTCAACAATTAGTGATGTTTTGTATAATCACATTCTTACTTTTTCATGTGATTTAGTCCAGTGAAGCAACAAGCTAACGTTCTAGAAAACAAGTCCTTTGTGGAATGTTGTATTCTGCTGATAGTGAATGTAATTCTCTCTGTTTCTCTCTCTATTCCACAAACAACCATAAATTGTACCTGTCTGAGGTTGTATCAGAGTCACACATGGCCCTCGGGCCATTGCTTGGATAGGACGGTTCTAGGTTGATGTACAGTACGAATGGGTAAAGGTTTCTTAAGTCTATCTCACTCTAAAGCTGGAAAAAAAAGGATGACACATCCTAGCTTGTTAACGATGTAGACCATTGCTCACCAAATTACCAACAGATGAGATAAAGAACCAAAGCACGAATACATTCAAAAGAAGTCGAGCGGTGACCCACTTCCCAGCAACGAGAACTTAATTTATCCTTTACACAATATACAGTCAGCATGTGGTTCCAATTTGCAGCTCTGTCCTCCTTGACCTCTATGTGGTTGATCATGGTGCACACATGGATCATATTATTTGTTGTGATGCACATGGGACACACAGAAATTCCACTTTTACAATCCTACTGCACACCTTTCTGACACCACTGGGCATTTACATGCAACATTGTCCATCTGTCATCAGAAAAAGAGTTTACTGTGTGACTACTGTACTGTAAAAACAGTAATAGTAAAATAAGTAGTGAGTAGAGCTTGAATCCAACGCATACCTGTGAGTGGGGGCTTGTGGCTATTTGGCAGTTCTTTGGATAAAACATCTGCTCCTCTATACAGATCTGAAAAAGATGTAAAAACAACAACAGTGAAGTAGAACATACTCCAAAACCTTAATAATATTTTAATTAATATTTTTTTATTATTTACATCTGTGCAGTGTCCAGCACTACGGTTAGTTTTAAACAAAGTGTGCTGATTTTTATTATTTACATCTGTGCAGTGTCTCTGTTTAATTTGTGCTATGTGACAGTTCACAGTAGTAATTCTCAGCCCCCTACTCTATTACCCAACTCTTACACGTTCGTAGCCTCTGGCTGTGAAGAAAAATTGTGAACAGTCACCATCACACACACATAATCTCCTTATGCACTTTTAAAGTACCAGTTAACTTTTATCCTTGTGTTTATGACTGACTACAGCATCTCTGGCAGTGCTGTTATTTCAACTGATGTTGTAATGTTCAGGATGCAATGGCAATAAAAAGCTACAATTTAAAACCTGCGGTTTCTTATTGGGAATCCTCGGTTAAGTGGTTGCCCATAAATTCAAGACTACCTTGGCTCTCATCAGCTGCGAATGAAATCTTCTCTGTGCCGGCTTTGCCTTCTTTGGGTCCATCTTTATGAGAGAGAGAATGAAAAAAAAAAAGTTTGTGTTATAAAGTTATAAAGTATACACTCCTAATTACTCTTTTGTCCCTGTGTTACAGTAAATAAAGTATTTCCTTGAAGGCTGTGCTTTCTGGTAAGTTAGTCACCTTGCTTGCCAGAGTCAGGTGACCCTCCAGTGAGCTCATACAGCTCATGGTGCTCGGTTTCTCTCAAAATGTCGAGGAACTGTGAAAACCACCCATGTTGACCCCTCACGATGCACCTCAGAAGTTCACGGGCGCCACTCCTCGGTCCTCTGTTTGCTATATCTGTTCTAATCTGCAACAAGAATCAAGGCATTCAGTGAATTGGACGTGTTGCGCAATTGTCCCAGGGCTCGGCAACTGGGAAAAGGGTATTTGGCTGCCCTCTAGTGGTCAAAAGGGACAGCTACCATTAACCAACGTATTTCTAATATTCAATAATGTAATTTCGAAAATAAACAATCATATAGTTGTGTCTAATTCTTATGATTTCACATCGATGCTATATTTAAATGGAAATGGTCACATTAAATAGTTAATAGTAATTACACATTTGCCAAAGTTCACTGTAATAATGTATTAAATTTACTTCTGTTCAATTTCTGAGATTCAAACAAACAATGAGTTTTTTGTGTTTTAGGCATTCTATGTACAGACAACAATTTACTTAGTATAGTCATTATTTACTATAAACATAATTTATAATCCAGTGTGTAATGAAATTGTTTTCTCAACTCTTTTGAACGAAATGGCAAAGCTGCTCCCTGAAAAACGACTCCTTGAAAGTCGTAATACGTTTAAAAATTGACCATGTTTACCTTTTATAGTGCTGCCAAAAGTACAACCGTCGTCGGTTTTTACCCCTTTAAAATAAATATATGCCACAATTCATTATACAATCATTTTTAGCTCAATAAAAAAATACTTAATTAGCGCCACAAGCTACCAATCCTGCTCACACGTAACTTCGCTTATCACGCGACATTTCATTTGACCGTCTACAGCCAATCAGACAATAACAAGTGGTGACGCAGCACGTGGCTGTCAAGACGCAAAACGTAAAAAAAAAAAAAAATAATTCATAGGTAAAACTTTGTCGTATGTGCTACTTATGATAGTTCGTTATTAAAGCAGCTTGGTTTGAGACATGTCGAATTTTAAATTGTGTTGTTCCATAGCTTTCCTCAAAATACGACAATTTAAAGCCGTTGGTCCAACAATTTAAATGTTTAAATATGTTAAGAGAGTTACTTATGGTCCTATTTTTATGGTACTCATTTAAGGGTACGAATCGCCTAAATCCCCATTTCCCTTGGAACCTGGTTACAAAGAGTTTTGAATCCTTCACATGCTAATGACCAACAGAGCACAACACCTGACTGCTTCCTTCCAAAGCGGATTTTACTCACAATCTCTGAGTCTTCTCTCGTGATCAGCTCTTTTGAAAGACAATGAACATACACCTCTTGGGTCTTCATTTCCACAAGACTCGGGGACAGTAACTCAATAAGTCGGACATACTGATCATTATCTTCCTCTTCTGCGGGATCCGGGCGTTTATCCTGCAAATAGTCCGCTGCATGTTTACAACCTGAGTTTTCCAGTCCATCCAGGAATCCCACCCTTCGGCCGGGTGTTTCCTAATGACCGCGTCAATGAGGAGATCCGCAGCTACTATATTACCATCTGTCCTCGCTCTTTGGCGAATCAGCTCCTTTGTGTCAACTGGGATAAACTGTAACTGATCCAGGAGCCGGTCGACCACAATGCACACCTTCAGTCTGGCTCTCAAGTCTTCAATGAGGTTCTCCCTTGTTTCATCAGTACCAGATGCCATTTCCTCTCACCTTGGATGAACTGTGATCACAACGTAAACAATCTACACAGACTGCTGATAAAAATACTAACGTAAGACGTTCAGGGGGAATTCAAACTTTCACTTTCGTTTCTACAAACCCTGAATTGTAATAACATAAAAGCACCACTAGATGAGAGTATTGGTTCACAGTCGATACTCGAGGACAAATACGATGCATTACACCTGCATGCAGATGCTTCACAACTGAAATGTGTCCCAACCTTATTTGAAGTAATTAAAAAAAAAAACACTGTCAAAATTTACATTACAATTATTTGACATATGACATATTAAACGGACTAGTGGAAAAAACAACAACTTCTGAATAACAAAATAAACATATTCATTAGATTCCAGGTTTTTTTAAGTATATTTTGCCAAAATTCAACAAAATGCAACTTTAGCATATGATTTTATGATGACTTTATCTGAGAATAAGGGGTGGGATCTTTTTAAACTTGATTTTAGAAATACAAATTATTGCAATACAATCACAGTCATACTTGGTGAGCAGGATAATTAGACTTTCCTCTAATATTATTAGTCAGATGTTTATATTAAATATTTTCACAACATATAATAATAGTTGACTTGGTTTAACCTGGTTTAACCTGACAATAATTATGACGAAAACATGAGCAACTTGAGCCACATACAATAATTATGACTTGTACATGGAAAACGATTTAAGACTTACTTGGAACGAAAACATGAGCAACTTGAGCCACATCTCCCCAACTAAAGACCAGATGGTGTCTTCAGAAAAATTCTGGTAATTTTTGCTGAATTGCACTATTAGTAAGACATTAAGAAAACATTTCTGTGTCGCTCACTGCGCACATTTCCTACAGTTTATTGCTCTTTTGCTCGTGCTGCTTTTAATTCTCACCCAAAATCAAGAATGTGAGTTTTTTTTTTACCTCCTCCTTTTACATACGATTCTCAGTAAAGTAAGGAACCATTGAAAAGACCATTATAACAATATATTACCACCATGCAAGAAATGTGGTTTTTCCTTCTCGTTTACTTTTAATGGTATTTCTTGAAGATTTTAGGACACAGCAAAAGGCTTTAGAAAAGACTGGACAGCAGTAAAAGGCAGAAGTCAGACATAACCTCTCCATAAAATTGCAACGCTGCTTACAGACTTATCAATTATTTAGGAATATGAAAGGTTTTCTTAGGCAACACTTGGAAATCCCTGGTAAATCCACATTCATTCTGGCTCTTCATAAAACACATACGTAAGTATTGCGTTACTTCCTGGTCTCACTGACTTGAATGATGGGAAACTAAAGACACAAAGTAAATGTTTAATTTATTGCTCCCACAGCTTCAAAACAAGCATTTTGTATTTTACTTCTGAGTTACTCAGTTAAAAAAAAACATTTTTATACATCTGGCATTTTATAATAGCTGTTCCTTTTACATATATGTAATGTACATTGTCAACATAAAAGAGTAAAAGTTAATAATAGGACTCTCTGTATGCATGAAGTTGTTGACTCAGCATTCGGATTGGTTCAATAGGCACAGGACCCTCTCTGGGGTCTGATTTTGTGCAGGTATTAACCTCCTGTCCACCTATTACCTCCCCACCCCACAGTCCCTAACTATTCCCAGTGCACCCCACTATAAGTGCATTCTAATTCAGTGTGCTGACATCATTTTCAATGTGCTACTTAGGGCTTAAAAGCAGTTTAAAACAATAAATATATTTATATAAAAATGCATGCACTGCCCAATAAAAATGCCTACTGTATGTCATACCTGCTTGTCCGAAGGCCCTCACTATAGCAACAACAGAACCCACCTGGACAAGCACGTATGCTGCATTCTGTTGGCATCATGTGCACATCAGTGACCGCATAAATAATGCACATTATTTCAAGAAGAAAACAACAGTATACATGATATTGAACTGTATATTGCAATGCAATTGACCAATACCCCTGAGTTGCACTTTAAAGAAAACAGGCGTACAGCAAAAGATAAGAAAACTGTTCTCACACCTTTGTAATAATGCTGTATTACACTAACAGCTACAGAAACGGGTGGGTATAGTGTGTCGATGTGCAGGCTTAGTTACTGTTAGAGGTATTTTATTGAAATAGATTGAAAGTTTCATACTCAAGTTGGCTCCTGTGGTGATTTTTATGAAATCATGGGGATGTTGTTGGACTTGTCTTGTCTTTTTCTACAACAACTTTGGGAATGGGCCTTAGTGTTCCAAAACTGAAGAGGAGACGTGATCATTGTGTCTTGAGCACCAAGTGTACAGTTACACATGCCCAGAACACCTTCCAGGGGGTGTATTTTAATTGCCTGTTCACAGATGACCATGCCACCATAACTAGCCTCTATCATGTGGCAGCTAGTGGAAGAAACCATAACGCTCCACTGACAGATGACCATGCCACCATAACCTGCCTCTATCATGTGGCAGCTTCCAATACTAGTGGAAGAAACCATAACGCTCCACTGTGAGGATTGACCCCGGCCCACCAGTCCAGTGTGAATCACAGATCAATATTCTAAACCTGACATCTCTCACACCTTGACCTGCTTTGACATTCAGTCCATTAAGATTAAAAACAGAACGTGTCAAAGGGCAGCCCCGATGAAGTCCAACAACATTGGGAATGGGTCTGACCTAATGACAGCAATGCCAAATTCACTAAGGCAATACAACAAAGTCTGGCACTACCGCTACACAACACTCTGCAGTTGGCCTTGCACTGCACTGCATACCCCAAGACCCCCATGTGAAGAACTACTCAGAGACATCGTCAAGATCCGTTCATGGTCCAGTTGGAAAGTTGGTCAAAGAGGTAGGTCACCTTTTCTTGCCGTACTTGTGTCAAATAAGACTGAGGGAGGGAAATGTTGACTTTATGCAGGTGCCGATCATCCTGGAAGACCAACCTTACTTTAGCTTTTGCTGATCTTAGACATGCTAACAGAAGCCAACCACAGTGAAAACCTGCTTTATGCGATGTTTTTCTTTGATGTTGTGGTGTGCCATTGCAACCAAACAGCACCTTTGTTAGTTAATCAGATTTCTTTAAGAACATAAAGGTATAGAATGGCCATTTTGAAAGGATGATCATCCACGATGGGTTGACTAGGACCAGCCTGATTGGTTATTTACAACATCAACAAGTAAACCTCATTGATTGATGACATATTGGGTTCATCCAGAGCCCAGATTAATAATTACTTCAACAATATGCAACCATTGTTGATACTATACTGATTACTGCAGAAAACAATCAATGACCCTGTCTGCAGAGTTTTTTTATCCACATGCATCATAAAAAAACGTATTTCTATTACCAAGGCATAATAAATTAACAATATAGATGTCTGTGCCGGCATGCTGATAAAAAAGGTTGCTACTTCGTAATTACAGCATTACAACCCAGATATTAGAACATGGTGCTGCTAGAAAGATTATTGACCAGGGAAGTTTGGGTCTGACACATGTCTATGGAGTCCAGAGGTGTCGAGGTTAGAATCATACGGAGAAGCAGAGTAGGAAGATGCTTCAGGGGGAGGAAGGATCAACACGGGCTGTTGATGCCCCATCACCTGCAGAGTCTGCTGCTGCTGCTGTTGTTGTGTATCTGTGGGTGTTTGTACCAGCAGTGCTGCAATGCTGTCCTCTATAGGGGCATTCACATTGGCCAAGCACAAGTCTTTGGATTTTTGAACGGCGCTCTCCTGTTGGAGGTTGGGCCCCTGAAAAAAAGAGCAAAATCAGCAAGATGTAAAAATAATCGTCGGGCTGTTAGATCTTTATACAATGTAAAAACAATAATTATAAATAATAATACTAAAAAAAATAATCTCATACCTCCCTTCGCTAAATAGGACTACTGTCGACCCCCCTAACCCCAACCCCACATTGGCTCATCTCACGGCTTGAGCTATAAAACTCAAACACTGGAATTCCTACAAAAGTACTTTTCCCAAAAAACCAAAGAAAATAAAATTGCGAACCAGTGCATTTTCCCCACTGTGTGACAAATATTAAAATTCATTTGCCTTGCTGCGCCCTGCCCTCGCCTGTTGACTGGATTGGCTCCAGCCCCCCTGCGATCCTAAAGAGGATTAAGCGGTAAAAGAAGAATGGATGAATATATTCTGTGTAATCAGAGGAAGTAAATCTTCATGAATCAGTCTTGACTCATGCCTGTGGTTCCCAAACCTTTTCTATAGAGCCCACAATTTGTAGGCAGGACCAATGTTAAGCCCCCAATGTGTCAGCAGATTCAAACACTATTATTACTAAAAAAAACAAAAAAATAAAAAATTATATTCTTATTGAACAAAGCCAAAAAAGGAAATAACGTAATAAATCAGTGTAACTCCTCTACCCCCGCTGTGATTCAATTACATTTATGCATTTTGCATTTACATTAGTCAAGTAAAGACATTTTTAAAAATTGATTTCTTCTGCAAAAGCTCTGCGCACCCTCCCCCACCCCCCACTTTGTGAATCACTGACCTACGCTATTAAAGCTGTAGATTTCTTTTTTTGCCCGTGCCTCTCCCATTGGTTTTGTGAGAGCATCCTTACTTGAGTTCCAGCAAGGCTGAAAAACCGGCTGGCCGTCAGAGGAACTGGCTGCACCTTCACAGCAGCTCTGTGATATTCTGGGCTGGCAGTCACAGTGCTGTATGCTGGAGGTCCCAGAGTCGGCTGTCTCTGCAGCAGCTGTAGGATGGTCTGAATATCTGACATCAGCTGAGACTCCAGCCTTCAGAAGGGCAGAGCAGAGAGGGTTCATCACAGCACTGATTATTAACTCAGATAACACACGTACACGCTTTTACTCCACTGAGCACTAGATGGAGCCCGTGCTCCTGAGTAGTGGACAAACAAAGACAAAAGGAGGGTGTAGTAAACAAGAGGTCCTGCTCCTGCTAGAAGTGATAATGAGTTTTGTGGGGGAGGTGTGAACTCAGCATTTACTTGGGAAAATGACTGCATCACACTGATTTGGTCAATCTAATTATCATCTGAGTTCTATATATAGGTCATCCGGTTAAACGAGGTAATTCCGAGACCCTTTAAATGCCATATTTCCCCGTTAAAAACAAATAGATGACATGTGTTTGATGAAATTGGATTCTATGTGAGGCAGCATTTGTTTTCTGGGTTTTTACTAGTGCATGCCCAAAGAAAAGCACTGACAGAGTAGATTTCTTTTTTTTTTCATATTTCATAGCAGGTGTAAACGTTTTTTTTTTTTTGCCTCAGCTATTTATATGGATTTGTGGAGGAAAGTGCTGCACCAACATATTTCTCTGACATTCTTTCAGTCTAGACAAAGCCAGAAAAACACAGAATGACAAAGATACGTTTCTTCTCCTGAGACCAGATGGCATTAGAGGGAGAATCAAGGTCAGGGAGAGTGCAGTGGATAAAACATCTCATTTGTGCTAAATAAATTAAACCAGCTCAAAATTTCAGGCACTTTCATGCTGTCTGTCTGTGTCTGTGATCATTTAAGCTAAAAATACCCACTGCTGTTTTTTGTGTGTCTATTTTGGTGTCCAGCTGGCTGCAGGTGTGTCATTGAAAGGATGACCGTCCAGCCAGTGGCGAAACTCAACAGTGAGAGCACAGGAACAGGATGTGGAGCTGCATTGTTTAGGGCCTAAACTGCAGCTACTGCATCATTTCTTTTTTAATTTCTAGAAGACTGGTGATAGCTCCCAGTACATTTTGTTCTTTATTTTTCACTCTTTAATTAGATTTCAAGCACTTCACTGTGAAACTTTTTGTACCACTTTATTCTTAAGTGTGATATTGTCTGCTTCCACACTGGTATATTGTGCTTCCAGCAGCTCCAGCCTCCAACAACAGCCGCTGCCAGCTCCTTCCACCACCTACTCACGCACAGTAGCAAATCAAACTACACACTGCCAGTTATGCTTACTTTTAGCAGTGTAGGAGGTGACATCTTTATAAATAAATATAAACCCTAAATCCATAACCATTATGTTTAAGTCTGCAACTAACTAACCATGATAGTGTGTACAAATGTCCCAGCCACTTTAAATGTCCTTTTTTATGTTAAGTTAATGTGATTGCTGATGTCATTTGACGAGTCTCTAGGAAAACTGTTGCATCGTGCAGTAACAACAAGTGGCGTGAGGATCAGTGACAGTTCCAGAACGTGTGCCAAATAATAGAAAAGAAAAATCTCTCTGTTGTGGAATCATCACACGCCGTCTTTGATCAATGTGTGACACAGAGCTGTGTGTGTGGATCCTCAGTCCTACAGGTTTTTTTATCTGAAACAGTTGAGACGAGACAACTGGACTATTTTAGTTTCTAGATGTTTTAGTTCTGACCGCCTGGCTGACTGACTGACTGACTGACTGACTGACTGACTGACTGGACACCTTGCAGACAAAGGACTCTCTTTTGAGAATGGAAATGCACATATTCTTGTCAGAGAAGACAGATGGTTTGACAGCAGAGTGAAGGAAGTCTATATCAACCTTAAGACACCATCACTGAACAGAGGAGGCGGCTTAAGACAAGGCAATTTTCAGCCACCCACGATATTGACTTGAGAACCCCCCCCCCAAAAAAAAAACCGCCTCCCCTTTCACACCTTGACCCTTAAAGAATAATGATGAAAAAAAGGGAAACATTGAAAGGCATGTACAGGGTTTCACATGGGTTGGAAAACAGGGGTAATGGTCTAAATCAGGGGTCTCAAACTCATTTTGGTTCCACATGCAACCTAATTAGATGTCAAGTACATTTTGGTTCCACATGCAACCTAAGATGTCAAGTGAGCCGGACCAGTACAATCATAACCTAATTACCTATAAATAACAATATGTCAATTTGTTTACATGAAAATAAATGCAAGTATATTAGATATTTGTTATTATTATTATTTATATTTATTAAAAGTTTACATGAAAATAATGCAAGTATATTAAATATTTGTTATTATTATTATTATTTATATTTATTAAAATGTAATTTTTCCAAACATATTCTGAACATAAAGTGTTTGTGTATTTTTTTTCAGCCCTGATCTAAATCAAGCCTGGATGTCACCGTACCTAAACAGGAAGTGTGTAAAAAAAACAAAAAACAAAAGATTAAAGATAAGAAGAAAATAAAAACCAGGTCAGATTGATGCAAACCATGAACAACAACTGCAACAATATATACCTGTTAAGGTGCTCCTGAAGCTGAGCTAAGCGCTGTTCCACCTCTCCGTAGGTGATTTCGCTGTTGGAGTTATCATCCTCTCTCAGGTCCGGGAACTGTGCTGACTCATCCAGGTAGTCTGTGGGCTTCTTACAGGCCCATTTATCACAGCACAGATCTGGAAAGGCAAACCAGCACACATGCTTAACATCCTCACATGTGGGTCAGAGCGACGTCACTATCACGTCATCACAAAACATAAAAAATAGAAAGTCCCACAAAAATAGAATGTAATTAATCTATACAGGAGAGCGGCGGGCAGGGCTTCATGTTGTAATTCATCACATCTTTTACATGCAGTATTTTCCCCCAGCAAACTCAGCCAGTTATCACTGCCCAGCACCTGGTGGGATCCAGCTCGTTGGCCACAGATATGGGTCGAGGGTCTTTTGTGATGTTAGACACGTAGGGTTAGTTAGTGTGATTACACTATCAGCTACGGCAGTCTGTGAGGGAACCTTTGTTCTAGCACGATGAGCTGCAAAGATATGAGCATCCTTGTGGCCTGTTCTGACTCAGTCACCATGGATGGCACTTATCTGTCCCCCCCGATGTGTTCCTTATTCATTATCTTTCCAGCATTAAAAATTTATAACAGCTTCACTCTGTCAGTTTCAATTTTTTTCCTAGTGCACTCTAAGAGAGGATACATGGAAACAAAAGCATTTTATAAACAAATTACATCTGCTGGTTATGATCTAGTTTCTAACTTCTAAGGGCAACACATTATTTTAAACATTGTTGTTGTCTTATTGTTGTCTTTCTCCTTCACACTTAGGCAGAAATGCTTAAATGTAAGAAGAAGAAGTGTAAGAATCCCTGTGAGTATATAAGCATTGTTTTCAATTAAACAGGCCCAAGTTTCATAATGAATGAGCAAATTATTATATTTCATCACATAGACAGTATTTTTGTCTGGTGGTGCACTGTGGGATTTTTCCAATGGTTTTTTTGACAATTATTTGTTGTTTATTTGTTAAATTCAATAAGACTGCAGTGAGACATAATTACTCATCCTCTTCTCCAAATCATTTTTACACCGTACGTAGTCCATAATAAACACAGCACGCTGTCGCTGCTATAGAAAAACACAGATAATTCGTAGAACAGCATACACACCTTCGAACGATGGGCTCCTCTCCAGGCTATTTCTAACTATAGGACTTGAGTCCAGGACTGTGAGGTTGTGCGATGAGGGATCCAGGACTCCAGAACATCTCTTCAGGCACAGATTAGACTCCATCTCCCTGCCAACGTCCTTAACCGCTTCCTCGTTTTCCCCTGTAGAATGGCAATTAGCAGGAGTTAGTGAAACAGCACAGTACGGCGTTCCACAGAGAATACATGTGAGTGCACAGTGTACACTGTGGTAAATAAAAAACAAATCTTCCTGAAAAGCTGACAGTGGTGTTCAGTCTCCACTTACCTTTGTGAAGATCTGGTGTGAAGGAGATCCTTCTTTTTTGGACTTGTGTGCCTTCAACATCTGAATCACCGTCTTTAGAACTTGAAGGCTGTGGAGTTGTGAATGTTCAGTTACCCAAAGAAATTATTGTTCATATCCATTCCTTAATGTGTATCTACACATGCAGATAATAATGAAATCAATTCTATCATTATTCTGAATAGGATCAGTGAATTAACAGGCAGCTGTGGAACAGTTTGGTTTCAATCCTATAAAATGTATAAAATGTCTACAAACTCTTAGTACAACATCAGATATTTTCTGTTTTAATAAAATCAAAATTGTATCTGTTTAAATTTTTTTTTAATGGAACCACATTTTTTTAAAACAATTCTCCCCCCAAAGCAAGAAGCTGCCATCACCATATTTGGTGAAATGCATTTTTTTTTCATTTCATTTCTTCTTTTTAAAAAAATACAAACCCCCCACAATTAATGAATTTTCGATGACACACACACGCACGTAATTTTCCACCTGCCTCGCTTCTTTTGAATATCGGTAAAAGCTGTCACATTCTGAACCTGCAAGCTGTACCTGCCAGAACTTCCTGCAGTTTCTCTGTTATTGCAGTACGGCTGTTGGTGCAGTTCTTTTTTTTTTTTTCACATTTCTTTTCATCAATTTTGGGAATACTGTACCTTCACGTCCTATGCAATGTCACTGCTGTTTCATCTCCTTACCCTTTCAAGAGTTTCTTCACTGTGTGACTTTTTAATTGTTTTGAAAATTTGGAACCATTTTTAGACCTTATGTATATCATTCAGTAAAGAATCCTTTTGATGCTCTGTAATCCTTACTTTTCAAACCACATCATACACATAGAATGTTATATATAAATATCATCAAAGACAGAAAAAGATTCTGAAATGAATGTTTTGGTGTCATCTGCATATTGTCAAAGTCTATGAGCAGGAGTGAGATAAAAAGTGGTTGACTGGATTGCAGCCTTTTAGTGATTTGCCTTGTCCAGAAAACTAGAAAAATGCTGCATATTTTTATGTACATAACATTTCACTGTATAGCAAATAATGTGAAAGTTAACATAAAAATCAGGATGAAAATATAATGGGACCTACCTTTACAGACTCGTCTCTGAGGTTAAAGGTGAGCTCCAGGTTGTTGAAGAAGCAGTCGGCGAATTCCGGGTACATGTCTAACACCTCCAGCAGATCCTCCCTCTGAATAGTGCTCAGGTCACAGTAGCTCAGAGCACGCACATCAGCATTGGATTTTCCAGGTGTGGTTAACAGATGGATCATTTCTCCAAATATGTCATTTTTTCCTGGTGGTGTCAGACAGCGAGAGAGAGAAAGAGGGAGAGAAAGTAGGGGGGCGGGGGTGAGATTATATTTTCTCAAAAGGTAAACATGTCAGTTTTACCTGCGGTGACTTCTGAAGGCATCCATGCGCGTAATAGTGAAGAAACTGTGCAGCGTTTTCTAAGGGGACGTGCTGTATCTATTCCTCAGGCTCTTAAAAAAGGGCAGCAGACCTGTTTGTTTTTGTGAATAATCAAGAATCAAAGGATTATCATCGATTTAGATTTTCTCTCAAAGCCAACGCGTCGGTTGTCTTTCTATCTTTGATCCATTATTAATGCAGGGAAGAGAAAAGCTAACCCACATTACCACTGATGTAAAAAGCAAAGGGAAGATAAAGCAGGTCCTTCAGCAAACTCAGAAAGTCACAGCCATTCAAGTATTTCTGCTTTGGCAGAAAATGAGCGTCCATTTGGCTAAAAGAGCAAAGAACCACATTAGAGGCACACTGAAACATCCCCCTGTTATTCCTAGGGTTCACTAAATGCCACCACTGTAGGCAGGGGTTGGGTTGAAAGATACACGATATGTTGGCAGCCAGTGTGGCTTTCACAGCATGCACCGGACACCTTTTCTACCACAGAGGACATCCTCGCCATGAGTGCTGTATCTTCTTCCACAAACAGCTCCCCACATGGATTTAGAGATGCCCATTAGCTCAGGCAGTAGTGTAACAGAGCAATCTGCCACCAGAGAGAAGGAAGGAAAGCTTTGGCCGCGTTGACTGAAAACTACGACGCCGCCGACGGAGGCCACGCGATATTTCACAACAGTCGTAGAAACACGGGTTTTTCCGGAGCAAATTGGAACAAATGTTGCTGATGTAGCATTATGCGAGTTTAAATATAAACAGGCTTATCTGTGAGATCAGTGACTTTTCCAGTGTGTTTGTTAATAATGGGTTTTGTGTGATGCAGCAGCTTTTGCTAAGCTTCAACCCCATTCTGTCCGCTGCAGCTTTGGAGAGCATTCATCCCATGAATAACGACACCTTTAATCTAAGCCTGGCCCACAGCACCTGGCTGTGATTCACCTGCTAATAAGAAGATAAATGCTCATTATTCTAATAATGTAATGGATATTTAGAATGTACTTCCCTTACATTTCTCCTGAAACTCTAAAATCTTCAAATTCACAGCTTTCTCTTTAGTTTTGGGTGGTTGACCTTTTCCATTATTCACCTTGGGCAGCTTAAACTCTGTTCCCATGCTGTCAGAAAGCAACAGTGATTTTATTGTGATCTTTAAAATTGCCAACCACCTTCCACAGAGCCACTAAACAGAAATGTCAGCGTCTCAAGCTTGTCAAATGTGCGGTCATATTGCCCAGAGAAAAGAAATGGGGGCAAAAGAGGCAACCTGACTTGTCAATGTCCAGGAGTGTGAGGGTGAAAATAGTGAACATGAATGGTGTAAAAATAAATAAAAAAAAGTCACATTTGCTCTTACTTTGGTGAAAAAATAGGCCTTTTTTTATTTTACATTTAATTTTACATATAATAAATGGATGGTAAATCCATCCATCCATTATTTTGGCATATTGTTATACCACACCTTTTTTTTATTTTACATATTTTCTTTTTTACATATAATAAATATGTACCCATTATTTTGGCATATTGTTATACCACTTGAAGACAACATTTGTCTTGTTTATGCAAATCATTTTTATAATTAATGGCCAGGAAAACTAAAAATGTATTTATTTATATATTTGTTTTACGATTAACTATATCAGTTTTCGGGTCTCTCGTTAAAACATAAATAAATAATATTTCATACTTGAAATAACCATATATGTTGACTTTTACATCACTGTGTCTGGTTTAACCCACTTCCATTTGATGTGATTGTGAATGTAGGACATAGAATAAGACAACTCCACACAGAGAAACCATCTGTCTGAACCAGGATTCCAACCCGTGACCTTTCTTTTGTGAAGCATCAGCACTATCCATAGGCCTAATCGATGCGGCCAATCAAAGCTGACCTTTATCCTACGCTTTTCAATGAACGCGTGAGGTTTAGATTGGAACACAGTCGACTCTTACATCCAGCGCAGTAATGAAAGAAACTGTTTCATAAAAAAGATCGGAAAAAAAATTCAAGTTAAATGAATGGATGTAAACAGAAGAAGAGCTTGTGATTACCTAGAATGGCAACGACAATGTCATCTTTCAGGATCTCAATCGAGCCTCGGGAGAGAAAGTAAAGAGCAGTGAGCACGTCACCACAGTGGACCAGAGTGTCTCCAGGAGGAGCATGGGTGGTTTTGAAGCGCATGGCCAGGGCCCTCAAGCAGCCTTTGGTGGCTCCCTGGAACGCTTTGCAGCTGTGGAGAAGGTTCCTGTTGAGGTGGAGGCAGATATCTGCCTGCAGGCACTCAGGAAAACCTTTTAAAACCTGTGACACAGAGAGTTAGCTTTGGAGCGTTTAGAAAAATAGTTTGAATGTCAGGGTAGGTCAAAAAGTTCCAGGACAGGAGCTATGAATTCAAGGGAGTCGGATTTCAAAATAAAAGACAAAACACAAAAATATCCAAAAATTGGACTAAAAACCGAACTCTACTTCAAGTTGTGATGTGGTGCACTTCTAGATAAAATCTAGAAAGAAAAAAATCTCTCACAACTTGTTAACCTACCCTGTTATAGGTTATTAGTTTGTTATTAGTTTGAGTTTTTGCCACTTGTTTTTAGCAAAGAGCAGAGAGAGGAAGATTAAAATATTATTTATCATTCGTCATCAGATACAACCATCCAAAGCAACATGGACAGTGGAGGGAAGGACACAATAGAACACTGTGCAGGTACAGCAGGGTTGGTACAGAGCTGGACAGAGACAGTGAGACAGACAGGTGAGTGTGAAAAAGTTGAAACATAATGTAAAGTTTAAAGGTTATATTTAGATATAAAAGGTAATTTGAGGTGAAAGCTAGTAAGAAAAGAAGGAGAAAAAACACCAGAAGAAAAAAATGATGATGACAGTGTGTGTAACAGTGTGTAGACGTGTCGAGGGAATAGTTCGATGATCGGCACTAATGTACACAAATAAACAGATTGAAGACACAAAGTGATATCATATGTTTTGTGTGAAATATCTGCTTATTGTTGCAGCGTGCGTGTGGAAGGGTTATGTGTCAAAGTAACCTAAGTCGTTGCAGTAAGGCTGATTACACAATCCATGTTTAACTTTTAATGAAAAAAGTATCTCCTTACAGACTTATATAAATCTGAACTGTGACGCAAATATACTATTACAAAGAAATGTATATAAAAAAGCCAAAGACATTAACAATTAATAACTGGGCTCCATTTCTCCTTCAGGTTCTTTAGGTATGTCTTTGTTTTCCAGGTTTCAAATGTCTCTTTTAAATAAGTTTGCCTCCTGCTGAGACAGAACTTTGCTGGAACACAGGCCATGCACAAATGATGAGCTTTTCTCTAAAGTTAATATTGCGAGCGCACAGGGTGATAAAAGAGAAGTTATGGTAACGGGGAACCATTTAGCCAAGACAATGAGAATAATTAAAACTGTACCTCCTGTTGTTACCAGTGCAGCAAAGGCAATCCAGAGGGAAGGCAGAAAAAGGGGGAAGGTAAATTATTTTAGACAGTTTCTCAAAGATTTCTCTTCAGATATAAAACATTGGAATAAAAGTTTCAGGGGAATATTTTATTTACCGTGTTCATGTCGATGCCGTTGGTGTAGGCCCAGGAGTGTTGGAAATACTCCTCCAGCCTCTGCCTGAGAGGGTTGGGAATCTGGTGGAAGCGGATGAACTCCTTGACCCGCAGCATCTGAGCATGGTAGCGGGCTGTACCGGAGTACAACCTCTGGATGATGGCAGAGACATTCCCAAATATACTGGCGTACATTAAGGCTGAAATGAAAATTGTTCTGATCAAAAATCACCATTCACAGACATTTACCTGATGAGTTTTGTTCATGTTGTACTTACAACCAATTAACATGACACAGATGGAAAAAATCTTCTCCGAGTTGGTGTTGGGGGAGACGTTCCCGAAGCCCACACTGGTCAGACTGCTGAATGTAAAGTAGAGCGCCGTGACGTACTTGTCCTTGATGGAGGGACCGGAGCCCGGGTCACTGTAGTTGTATATCTTTCCTATGGACACGCCCAGGTTGTCCAACCAGCCGATCTTGTGCTCCAAATAGGGCTTCTCCACGTTGCCAATGGCGTACCATATACAGGCTAGCCAGTGAGCAATCAGGGCAAAGATGCACATGAGCAGCATGAGGACCGCAGCTCCGTATTCAGAGTAGCGGTCCAGTTTCCTGGCAACTCGCACCAATCGCAGCAGCCGAGCCGTCTTCAACAGGCCAATCAGAGTGGTTGTCTAAACAAGAAAATATAAAGTGAGACATTTTAGCAATAAGAAATAACTTTTCAGTAGGGGTGTGAATTGGCAAAAATCTGGCGATACGATATGTATTACGATACAGGGGCACCGATAAAATATATAGCGATATATTGCGATACTATAGGTGCAAAGATATATTGAGTTTTTAAAAAACAACTTAACTGTCAGAACAGTATACACACAATGTTGTTACATACTTAACATCTGGTTACTCAAAAAAAAAATTGAAAGTCAAAAAAAAAGTCCTCTCAAGTAATCTTTACCAGGAGCATACAAACATACATACACATTTTTGTACATGATAGCCCCTCAACTGGACGTTAGCTATTAACTAAATATCTAATCCTAATCTGCACCCTAACTCTAATCTGACCCTAATTCACAAAGACAAATGACCGTACAACATGGCAACGCCCCTAATAAATATCACACACACACTACACATTATTCATCCAAATGGGGACATTATTCTACTCGTCTACTTGTTTCTGTGTGGTTGCGGCATTAAGAAACATCGTTTGTTTAAATATTTACACAACATCTTTGTTCCTGTGAAAAACACCACTGGCTGCCAATTTGACATAGTGCCTCTCACATTATGCTAAGTCTGTTGGCAACACAAGGCTGTTGTGAAGAGCAGCGCCGCATTGAGAAAATACGAGTTTAAAATACATCTCTGACTTTGCTTAAATGAAAAGGTTTGCACTGAAGTGCTTGAAGGTTAAAACTGTCTCATTATGCTGCTAAATGAACCGTCGGCTGCTGCCGCCGCCTTTGTCCTTCTTAGTTTCTGAATGGGACTCCACTGCAGGAACACCCTATAGGCACACACAGCATGGTGGGCTATATATAGCAGGCGTGTATCTTCATGTAATCACAGTAAATGTCAGTCTATATATAGACCACGACAGTTGTCACCTCCAGTTAGTTCTCACAGCTGGAAATCAAGTGCGTCAGATTAGCCAAAGGAGCATTTCTACACAATCTGATCACGGTGCTAAATCTCTCGAGATTATTCGTCTGATTTCATCATTCATCACACGGCGTGATAAACAAAGGACTATTTCCTCCGTGCCTTGTTTTCATCCGTTGAACTGACTCAGCAGTTACAACAGGCGGCAGTAGTAGAGGAAAAGATGATTATGATTTATAATCAGCGGCTTTTCTGGTTTAATGGAGTGCCTACAAAACACGATAAAGCGCTGAAGTGGGTCCAGATCCTGAGGGGACGTATCCAACCAACCAACAGGCCAGGGGGCCTGGCAGCCAGCCTACCAATGGCCGTCTCACATCTGCACGTAAGCTCTTCACACAGAGCCCTGTTGGCCTGCTCCACTCATAAATACATCATTGATTGCCTTTGGTAAGCCATTAATCCGTGTAAATGTATTCGAGAATGAGGGTCATTCAAAAAAAAAAAAAAAGGAAAAAGATAGAAAAACAAAACAAAAGAGAGGGAGAAAAGCAACATGCAATTCAAAGTAATCCCATCAGAGCCGAGGGAGAACGACCAGGGCCCGGGGGCACGAGTCTGGACTTTGTAAAAGGATAACTTTGAATACACAGTCTGGTGATGTGCAGTATGAATATTTTCCTAGGAAAAAAAAGATATATATATATATATATACATATATTAAAAAAAACATGTGTTAGAATTAACGTACCTCATCTGATCCTGAGCCGAAGATAAGAAGGTCAAACGGGATCGCTGACCTCATCTGATCCTGAGCCAAAGATAAGAAGGTCAAACGGGATCGCTGCAACCATGTCTATGAGGAACCAGCCTTTAAAGTAATGGATGGCTATCTTGGCCGGATGACTGACCACTTCCTCATTAATGTTGACGTACGTGGTCCTGAAATTAATGAGGATGTCGATGATGAACATAATGTCTACCATTAGGTCCACCACATTAAGGGGGCTGCAGGAGTATCCACATTCACGCCTCTTCTGCTCCTCCTGGTCGTTGAGGAGAAAAGCAGCCGAGTACGGCGTGAGGATGGCGGTGTAAATGACCAGCAGCAGGATCAGCCAATCCCACACTGCCTTGAAGGGACTGTAGTGGAGGATGGTGAACTTGTCAATGCGGGCCGTCTGGAGTTTGTACTCGGGCAGCACATCGGCTCCCAGTGACAGGACCTGGAGCGGTGACATGAGACAGTTTTGATTACGCTGCTCCTCTTATGTCACGTCACATAATATAACAGAGGTTCAAAGTTCAGCTGAGGTCACAAACATTCAAGATTAGAGCAGAGCGATCTCCTGATACTACTTATTTACTACTTCTATATTATATTTTGCATACGGAAAAAAGAAATAATTTCCTGAAATAAGGAAAACATATAAAGGTTGTCGACATCATCAGCCTGCCTGATCCAACGCTCCGTTGTGTATTCTTACAGCCAAAAGACAGACTGCAGTCATTAAGGGCAGATTTTTAACAAGTCTCCTGAGGGATCACAGCACATTCTTCTTTGGTTACGCTCTTGTGCTCCTCCAGACTTAATGGTCATCTGTCATGGACCTTGGTCATCGGTTCACTCCACCGATTCTTTATGGCATTTCAGTCAGTGACATTAACGCTGGCCATAACAAAATAGTTCTTCACCAGTGTTTAATTTGTTCTTCACTGACCACAGGTCACCTCTGCTGCTGACCAACTGGTTTATTATCAAAATTAGCGGCAGCATTTAATCAAAGGCATGCTGGGTGTGATTCGTTTTCTTCTTGGTCAAATACCAGGACCTATTTGTTTGATTCAAAGCCTTTTTTTTACTGAAATTCTTGACATTTTTTTTTTCAGTTTGCCTTTAATGGACTACATACTGTTCTCTTCCCCTTTTCAAATATAATACAGGTTTTTGAGCCTTCAGAATTGAACAAGCTTGTGGAACAAGAACATAATTTCACACCGAAAGAATTCTCTGATGGAAAGACAAGTGTTGAGACTGGAGGATTTGTAGACCAGGGGTGCAGATGGGATCTTTGAACTGAAGGGGGGGCACACTGCCAGAAAACTGGGGGGGACCAAGCTGTCAGCAATACCACTATACAATAACCATAATACTTTTATCAGACAAATATAAACACTAATATAAACATATATATTTCTTTTTCTATGGTTTTATATATTAGATGTATTTTAAAGGATGTATTTTATGGATGTTGGGTACTTTCGATGTTTTGTTTTGTTTTCTTTTCTCCCTGTACGACAGCGTTCTTAGTTTAGTTTAACAGTGGAAATTCCGACATTTGTGTTAAACTTAAACGCACCAATAAATGTAGCACACAAACCTGCCACAACTGGAGTATCACTCTCCTGTTTTACCAGCGATGCTTGTCATCTTATGTAGGGACAGTTGGGGAGCATGGAATGGGGTCACTATCTGAGGGGTCATGCTCCCCCCACCGTGTTCCTAGTGCCATCTGTGCCCATGTTGTCGAAGGACAGCATTGTATTTTCATGAATGAACATTTCTTTCCCTCTGTTTTTCCTCTGTGCTGTACATCTCGGTGATTGTCATAATGTTGTTTCAGTTGGTTTTTCGACAGCTTTCAGGTTTTCTTTTATTGGTTTAATGAGGCACAGCAGACATTTAAACTGATAATTTTAATAATAGCTGGTTGGACAGCGGCAGTGACACGGACAGGATGTTAATTCTCTGCAGTCAGACTGCATTCAATAACAGGAGTCTCTGTGGAATGGCAGGCGGTTTTGTCAGTGTCGTGACACGTGTCAAAAATGTGCTGTTGAACCTGTTTGTCGTACATTTTGTTACAAGCACAGAATGGAAGACAGACTGTAAAATCATATATCATAAGAAAAAAAAAAGCGTTGTATCATTTTACCACATACAGAAGATACTGACTAAATAGTAAATTATTCAGTATTGCAAGGAAGGCCAAGCCACCCCCCTGTTTGGGGCTTAATAAGCAGTGACAGTAAAAGAGAGGGGCTCTCTTATGGCAGAATATAGTGCAGGAGTGAAGGTGAGGGCGGTGGGCCTTCTATTCAGCACATCCTCTATCTTCAACACATGAATTATAGATTTTCCCCCATGCTAGCAGTCAGGAGTGGCTGCACCACATCTCAGTGGTGTCTGAAAGCTACTAACTGAAGTCAGCTGGGAGAGAGGGGGAGAATGAGAGAGGGGGGGAGGGGGTGGGGGGGTTCAATCACCAGAATGGTTTGTCTTCATTTATGAATGAGAAAGCTGTGGTGAAAGAGATTTGATTGGAAGGTTTCATTCCCCGCACACGGAGGTTCAGACGACGCTGTTGTTGTTTATAAAACCTTGGTCTTTCATTGTCTGAAATGTAAATATGTTCTGGGTTTTTTTTTTGTTTGTTTTTTTATTTGCCTCTCAGACACATTGTACAAACCTTTGTACAAACCTTTGTATCTCTGATACAAACCTTGTATCAGAGATGAGGGTTGTTAGTTTGATTCTTTATCCAATTTTCTGCATTTTAAAAAACGTTTTTAAATTTTTAACCTTGGTGACCTTTTATTGTGCATTTTTTTTATAGTTAAACCTTAGACAACACTGTATGTATTTGTGCAATTTAAAGTTGAGACTGTGATGAGCACTGTAACACCTACCCATTCTTGCTATGTCGGCTTTAGCTGTGCAGCTTGTTTACTTCACCAGGAAACTCTGCCACTAAAAAGCCCTTGTTTCAGTCATATGATGGAAAGTGCTGGCTGTGCTGAGGTGTCCTTCAGAGAAAAACCCGAATCTGAGTTGTCAGCCCAGGTGCTAAAAATACGCAACCAATCTCTTCCTTTAAGCCCAGCTGATGCGACTGCTATGACTCCTGGTATTATCCCCACTTTCTTTGCCATTACGCTCCTTTCTTGTTTTTAATGTCACTGTTGCAGCGGTGATAAGGGTAGGAACCTGACAGCCAGCAAAAAAATCTTCTCCTGCCAAAGTGTAACATGTGCTTTGTATTAGTGTCTTAAGCTTTTTACAAAACCTCCCGAATGAGGCAGCAGATGCCAGTGACAAGACGAGCAAACATTTGTGCCGTCATATGTTTGTCACTTTTGCCAGCGTCCTCAACACACTCTGCCAGTTATGATATTTAAAAGACACCATCAGGGACAAGCGGCTGTTAGGAAGCCTACTGTAGAAAACAGTACGTACCGAGAAGTTTCCTCCTCACTTGTTATATCAAGGTCAACAAGGTTAGGAACCCCTGAACACGATGGTATACCAACCATGATGAAACAAATGAAACACAAATGAAGAAAGTTCGTGGACTCACCTGCGTGACCTTCTCTGTGACATTGTGTGTTCTCTCTTTGACCTTTGGGGCGATGATGGTTTTCTCAGATGTCGGTGGAGAGTACGTCTTTTTGTCGGTGCCCTCGGAGAAGTTGAGTGCAATCAGTGGGATCTTGTTGATGGTGCTGTACTTGTTGATGTTCGAGTCAGAAGTAGAGCCGAGCAGACCGGACTTCACATGATTATAAGTACCTGCTAGTTTGGAACAAACAGAGTCACATTAGTACAGTATCTGGATCCAAGACCTCGACCTGGTCTTCTTAAAAACTAAAAGAACAGGTTATTGCCATACACTGTTTTTAAGCAATTTCTAGATTAATTTGTTATAATTTTGGACATTTTCATTAATATTCTGTAAAACCTACTACTTATATTTACTGATTTACTGAATAAGATCATTCTAACATCTTTCTGGTTGTCCTTTAATTCATCTTAGCTAATTTTCCATCACAGTCGTCGTACGTTTTTGGTCAGACTTTACGTTGCTTTTCTTGCTCCTACAGTTTGGACATGGGTGATTTTTCACACGTCGCTGCCATTACCCACCTTCGCTTGTATTGCGATCTCTGAATGCACCCTTGGTGTTGGAGCTATAACCCTCAATATCGTGGACAGATGAGGCGCGACGCATGCTGTTAATGCTGCCTCTGAGAAAGGTGTTGGACAAGGAGGAGGAGGACTGCTGCACTTCTGTCTGGTACAGCTTCTCCCAGGGGAGTTTAGGGGATGAATGGTTAAGTGGTTCTAGACTGATGCTGGCCTGGGATGAATGGCGGCTGGAGCTAATGAGAGCATGTGTGTCATTTGCCTCAATGGGACTGCAAATGCTCTTGCTGGGCGAAGGGAAGCTCTTTAGGGCCACTGAGTCGTCATTCTCTTTGGGTGAGTCGACCATCACTGCGTCCGGGTCCTCTTGTGGAAGAGACTGCTTGTTAGTGTTCATGAGGCTCAGAGCGGCCTGGCGAAAGCGGAAGAATCGGCTTCTCCCTAAAAGTTGGACGGAGAATACGTAAAGCCTTTGTTAAGTTTTAGGGACACAACTCTGGGAATTTAAAATATCCCAAAAGGATGGAGTGTTTGATGCTTTTCATGTTCAATATATTAGGATAAAATAATAATGAAAAAAACCCATCTTAGACCGTGAGAGTTTGTGCTTCCTTTAAGTGCGCACCAATTTAAATAACAAAATATGTAAAGAGAGGTAGAGGTTCAGAAAGGTTTGAGGATGTTTACTGTTATAGAAGGTAAATATAGGATTCCGAGATTTAAGTTCTTATTTAGTATTCATCACATCACTGCACTTTCTTCAGGAACGGATATTAAAAAAAAAATCGTTTTAGTTTTTTTTTTTATCATTTTTTTGCAGACACAGGCTTGGGTTTCAGTGGCAGTACATACGACAATAAATTAGTCACAGTGGCATCATCCAAACTCTTAGCAAATGAATGGATTCAATATGACATATTAAGTGAAAAACAAACGACGTGAACAAACATTTTCCTTCCGAGGGCTCACGAGTAGCAGATGGCGCCGTTGCTGCTCTGTGCCTCATTGATTTGAGACAGAAGCTCCGTTTCTTTGTGCGAAGTCATAACTTGAGAATGGACACAGTGGCAAATGTTAACGACCTCTTGGGACACAGTGAAAGTTTTGGCTCATTAACAATAGAAAAGGCAGAGGGAAAGTGAATCCTGCCTCACTCGTGTGGCACCGATCCCTCAGCACCCTCCTTACGTAACGTCACTGCCATCTGTTTCCATTCTCTGGCCAAATGTGCTGATGTTAGAACTATAGCAGCGCACAATGGTGCAGTGACACTTAACAAGTTTCCTGGAGAGGAACCTAATGGCATCCTGAGCTGGCAGGAGATGTGGGCAACATTCCTGTCGCCGCTCTGCAGGTGGACCGTGTCACCTGCTTGGGGTAAAAGTTGAGCTCGTGTGAGCTGGATGACATCATGACGAGCATTTCTAAACCAGCTTAGCACATTAATCATGTCAAATTTGAGAACTATAGTACTACAGTACTAATGATAGCAATAGTACTTTGGCTGGAAGCTCTTTCTATTTTTCTTTTTTTCTTTTTTTGTGAAAAGTTGCTTAGAAAATATACCTTCTGCTGATGATGTGCAAACGGTACCAAAAATAGAAGTTCAAGTACTCCATTTGACACAAGTCCAGTATAAAATACTGCACTTAACTTTCTGCTTGGCTGTTTTTACTCCGACAGCATTGGTATATTTCTGCGACCACATCTAATAAGTTTTCTCTCTCATACAGTATTTTCCTTGCGTTGCACAATATTACTGTTGTGCCTGTATTTGGGTTATGGTCCCCAGGGTGGGCAGATGCCTGCCTCATATGATGCAGGTGAAAATGGCAAGAAGTGAGAGAGGGCTGAGGGTAGAACCTACGCTTTTTTGCCTTCACTTTAGAAAAGTTTAGAAAAAAGTAAAAAAAAAAAAATACATTGTATAATTATAAAAATGTACAAACTTGATGCACAGTTTATGGATTTGGGATGTGGGTTTTTGTTGGTGGTAACTCAGGATGTTTAATTTTTTTTTAGGTGGTGTGATTTTTGTGCAAATTAGAAAAAAAAAACATGAAATCAGTTTCAAAGTTTATACAGTTTTATCCTTCGTTTCTAATTGTTAAATCTTTACAGATGGATAGAATGGACTATAGAGTTGAAAATATCATCACAATTGTTCTGTAACATTAATTGCTAATGTTATTTCCATCAGTAACCTGACAACTGCATGGTAAAAAGACTAAAAACTGGAAAATAATCAGTGGGAATCCAAACGTGTTCTTGTAGAGAATCAGTTTCCAGTGGTCCAGTTTCTCAAACTCATTTGTCTGTTTCTTAACAATGACTGTGTACATGTCTAATGACATCACACGCACACTCCCAGTCTACTCCTGAAGTATTTATAGTAGTAATTACAGTTGCATTTCACTAAAAAAGGCGCCCGGGTCATTTGCACGGCGTGCCGAGCTCTGACAGTGACAAAGTGGGGAAATACCTTCGTCGTGCAGAAACGTGAGCCGCACAGCGTGCAATTAATTTACCGTCCACGCACCGTCGTCCTCACACTGTGTAGCAGTGGTTCTGATGACTCGCAGGTTAAAGCTAGCGACGAGGCATAAAATATCCCGGGTTAAGTTAAGTCAAACTCAGCTAGATCCTGTGCTAATGTTAGAGCTGCTTTCACCATAGAGTGTTAATTATGTCCTGTATCTCCTGTAATTACATTTAGATAACGATGATGAGTTTGGGGAGCCGTAGGTCAAGTGTGTGATGATAATAAATTCTGTGGAGAATTTTTTTTCCCTGCAGTTTTCATTTCTTAATGCAGACTTTACATTAAAGAGTCGGTGCAAACGAACCCTATTTGTTTCTTATTTTATTTTCTAACCCAAACAGAACCAAGAAGAGAAGCAGCCATTTTAACCGTTGGTTTCTGTCCCATCACTGAATGCTGTATATAACTGACGCAGACGTGAATATTATCATTCAAACAACAAACGCTTCCTCCTGTTTATGGAGCGCCGAAGACAAAAACAACACAGATGTCGTATTAAGAAAATACGACGTGCACACAAACGCGGTCACATCAACCGTTCATCTTCCCGTCTCCTCCATTGTTCACCAATGGTCGCGAGCAATCATCTCTGATTAGCGATGTCGGCGTTAGACACAGGCACTTTAACACACAAATGTACACACCGACACATGGGTGCACACACATATGCACGTGCACACTGAAACACACACACAGCATTCAGCACAGGCCTAATGTCAGACGCAGCCTCGGAGGAATTCATGCTGAGTGGAGTGGAAGGCTGAGCCCCAGTCAGAGACGAGACGCTGAGTATCTCCAATCAAGGAGGAGCAGGAACGTCTGACTGACATTTACACCTCACTGATGCACTTCCACATTAAATCAGCAGCTACGGCTATGCAGAATATGCAGCTATAAAATATACATAAATGACGTAAATATATAGACGTAAATCACGATATATATATATAATATTAAAATGTCTTTTAATTAATTTTTTCACTTTTTTTTTCTTCTTAGCCTAGATATCACAAAAATACTTAGCGCAAAACTCGCACTACAAGAATACATTTAAAATATAAAAAAACATTAAAACATTAAAAAAAAACCTCAATCAAATTCTTTAGTAATTCTTCTGGCATTTTATGAAGTAAACACAGCGTTTCATTTCAGTATCAGCTCAGATATGTTTTACCAGAGTTTAAACATGAGGTAAAATCCTTTAATTGTTTCTATGGTTAATGTTGTTCATCTGAAAACATGAGGTAAAATCCTTTAATTGTCTGTTTCTATGGTTAATGTTGTTCATCTGCTGAGGTCATAGAGGAATTTTTGCAAATTCTATCATTTCTTAATGACTACGAGGACTAGTGGTTGACTGACCAATCAGAGATGAGCAGATATTTAAACTGGTTGCAGAAATCAGGCAACGTTAACAGCGACCATGAAGGAGTTTAATGTCGTGTGCTGTAAGAGATATTAACTGGAAAGGCTACAGATAAAGAGACGTAATAAGGAACACATCCCACTGATGTGTGTCGTATTTTGAAACATGCACAATTGCCATACATTTTTCAACAAATATTAAGTTTGGCTCACTGTGAATTTAAGTTTGACAGCCCCGTTTTATCAGTAAAAACATTCAAAGTAAATGGCACCCATTTAAAGTTTTTTTTTTTATGGATCCTAATTTGCAGCACATGTTTTTTATGCAGATCTGACATGAAGAACAGCACATTAGGTACTCACTTAGGTCTGACTTTGTGGGGGATGTGGGGCTTAACTTCTCCGTGGAGCTGTCACTTCCCTCGTCCTGAACGTACTCAAAATTCAAGATAAACATCATCACCACGCCCTCTTCATTCTTCACCGGCATTATGTGAGCGGTACACTGAAAGTCGGTTCCTGGGAAGAGAAACAGAAAGTCAGTGAAAAAAAAAAACTCTTTACTTTTCACCTCTTAATTTAAAATGTCTCTGTTCGAGATAAATGGAGTTAAAGTCGGTGGGATTTAAAGGTCACTGCTTTAATGTCAGGATAAATAAAATAAGTAAGGCCTGAGGTGAAATGAAGTTCACACTTGAGTACTCACTGTACTGTACTATACTGTACTGTACTGCTTGAGTACTCACTGTACTGTACTGTACTGTACTGTACTGTACTGTATGTGCTCTTTTGTGACTATTCTTACACATATACCAATACCATGTGTTTGTGTGTACTCCTGGTCTTTAGCAGTGATGTTGAATGAAGACGATTAAAAAGAAGACACTGTGTTTTATGTTAGCAGCGCGGTTTAGTCCGCAGGATGTAACAGAGCCAAATTAGAGGACTGTGATGTTCTTGCATGAATAATCACCAGATTATGGTGTGAGGCAGCAGAGCAGAAATGAGAAATGTGTTCTAGAGTCAGCCCAGAATCGACACTGACACAACAAAACACACTATTCTGATGGAAAACAAAACTACAACTGTGCAGGAGGGAAATATTTAAATATGTATGAGCCTAAATAGGAATGGTATTTAAAGTAATCGCGGTGACTTTAAATGGACAGATCTTTTTTTTTTTAAAAGTGCATCAAAGACGGTTGAGGCAGCGGACGAAACTGTGACCAAACAGTGTCCCTGTCGCTCCATGTAGGTCTGCGTGTCCTTCTGTCTGGCCGGTTGTGTTGCTCCTAGAGGACATGTATTACTAGTGTTCACTGTAATCTCCTAAGGGCTCACAGACACCCTGCCAGCAGCATTCATCAGCAGCAGACTCGCTGTCTGACTAAATATAACAAGCCCGCTCTGCCTCAACATGCCAAAGTTGTGTTAGAAGGATTTGTGCACGAAACACCCAGAAGTAATGGAGCAGTGTCACCAGTGACAATGTGATAATGTAATTTTAAAGACGACACTAAATGGAGAAAGTAGGACTTTGGTAATTAACACTTTGTTAACGTTAATTAATTGGAGAAATAGCATATCAAATAATCCAGGCTTTTGTGCTGCAGCTGCCCGCGGTAACGTAAAGTTGAACTGATCCATTCACGTCACATGACCACCGACCAGAAGAGAGCAGTCTTTGTCTCTTTAGGTTACACTGGGTGAAAATAATCACTAATATGTCATGAAATATACATATTAAAGTTGTTATATTAGCAGTATTTGTCCTGTGTTTTATTGGGTTATTTTTCTGGGGACCCATATTTTGAAAGTCACAAACCTGCATGACCCAAGTCAATAGACATAAGTCAGAAACTCTTCTTAGGAAACGTCATGTGAGACAACCCAAAAAAAAAAAAATAGGAAACGTCATGTGAGACGACCCAAAAAAAAAAACTCTTGCGACCCACCTGAGGGTCACGACCCAGTCTTTGGGAAACAATGCTCTATATTAATAATTTCATCATTTAGTCATTTAGTAATGATGGATTCCCTTGAGTAATTAGTTCAATAAATACATATCAATAAATGATCATGATGAATCACAATTAATCGCGATTATTCCCCAGCCGTGATTAATCATGTTTAAAATTGTAATGGTTTGACAGGCCTTGGAGAAAGTATTGATTTCACTCTGAGAATATGTGGAGTGAATCGACCGGTCAGTTTAATGACGTTTATAAATCAAACAGCTCTTGTTCCCAACACTCATCTTGTACAGTACTACGAGTACAACGAGTACCTGGTGATGATTTAAAGTAGTGACTGGTGATTAGAGAGGAGCCGACTGTTAGTCCTTCTCCTGAAAATCCCCTTTCATAAAAAGCACTTTTCCCCATAAATCCTTCTATAATTTAATATTACCCCCCCTTTTTTTAGGCCACGTTTAGGTTTTGACTTTGACTTTTTGATTAAACAGAGTCCAAGAGAAAGGGGAAAAGCAGGTGATTTACAGCGATTTATTCAGTTAATAACAATGATAAATAATGTTATCTTTTCAATTACTTTATCATCAATCACTGATAAAAAAAACAGCAAAAACCTAATTCATCACCGTCATACTAATTACTATGGTGTCCCACACTCTTCTAAGCTGCAGGACAAAACTTTCTGTCTACTTGTCGACTGTACATTAATCTCAAAAACAAAATAATTATGTAGTAAAATGATGAACCAGTCAAATGATGTATTAAAAAACCAGGAAGAACTGGTCAAATTAAAATCAGTGTTTGTGTGAAGGGACATCAGGGACACTTTTCTATGTCAACGTCAACAACAACAATCACATACATGTATTCCATTTCCATTTCCGTTGAAGATTGTTCCCGAACATCAACCTGGTTTTTACAAAAATAAATAAATAAATACAAATCTTTAGCTGAGTGCACTAACTTGGCAAATAAATAAATAAAATAACATCTTTAGCTGAGTGCACTAACTTGGGAAAATCTGGTTTTGTCATTCATCCTTTCTACATGGCAACCAGTCAGCCAATCAGGACATTCCTCTGTCCAAGTGTTGTCAGTCGAAACGTTGAAAGACAAAGTTTCAAATGCAGAACAGCCGTTTTACCAGCGCTCCTTCTTATGTTGAGAACAGCTACCTTTCTGCTCCACTGCTGCAGCAGGTGAAGTGTGTTCCAAAGTTTTGTGAATAATGCAATAACTCATGCATTAAATATGAATTTAACACTTTAGTCCTGAATGCAACATTATAAACACATTAAACAAAAATATTGTTTTGTTTTTTCACGTCTGTCCTCAACATTGAGTTGCAGGATTTGAATGAACATGAATATATTAATGAACAGAAGACAAAAAACAAACAATCTGTATTCAACACACGGAGCACGTCGATGATGTAACATGGCAGCTGACACTGCTAAGAAATGCAAGAACATACACAGCATGCTAGGACAACCTACTGGGAAATACTACAGGATGAATATTTATACTGCACACCACTGTGTTGTGTGCGCAGCAGAGACGGTAAACGCAGCAGAAATATCTCTGGGCTGGAATTTACCTCAGCAGACGGGGAGACAATGGCCATGTTTAAAGGCTAAGTCATGGAGGTCCCTTCTCAGCTGGTCTCCAGCTCAAAGTCACCTCTGCTGCACCAAAATAGACTCAAAGGCAGCTTCCTTTGAATGTGATGGTGAAACCAGCACAGCCGGTGTTCGGTGCGACTCCCCCGCTGCACAAGGGGAAAGTTTTGATGAATAAAACAGAGGAGTCTCTTTATTCCTCCTCCCAAAGGCTGCAGCAGCAGACCATGTGATCGGTGTGACCTCAAGTTGATTTGGTTATTTATCGGGAACAACTGTGTCATTATTCTTCCCACTGACACGGTCCTGGTTTGTTAAGGGGGCTGTGTTGGAGACAACAATGTCATCCCATCTATTTAGTGTTCCTACTGTAGGCTACAGGGAAAACACGGAGACACATCGATGAGTGCGGAGGAGGAACAACTCCTGGTGTAGATTAAAATGGATTACTCCGGGGTAAGGAGGATGTACTAGGTTCATAAAATAAATCAATACTGCATAGTATTCACTTTCTGCCGATGGGACATGGAACACCAACAGACTAAAACAATCGGAATCTTGCACAGTTAATATTTAAGGGACTTTGTGCTTAGTGTAAATATGTTACATTATATAATATGATATATTTTAATGTCTCTGCATTTAAGCCAATAAAACAAGTGTTTTTAACAAACAAATAAATCTGTATTTTTCGAGACACACTGTTCAGTATTATGCAAGTAAAAAATCAAAAAAGATTAGGAGATGATCTCAGATTATAGTCAAAAAGTTTAAAGACAAGATAGAAAAAAAAATCTGGGAGCTGATTTTTGCAGCAGGTCGATCTGTTTATTTGCCGTCTTAGAACTGAAATGTACGTCCTTGCAATTAAAAAAGTATCTAACTATTATGAGTGAATGATATATATGCATTTAAAGATTAAACAAAAAATAATCATTCTTGCTCTGATGCAAAATTGTTTATTTTTTTGTAGTTTGGAGACGCCTGAGAGATGTGTTTTAATTATTAAAAATCGTCACATTTATCTTCAAGTTTTTCAACTCTGGTGCGAACAGCTCTGAAAAAATCCACTACTCATTAGTAAAAGCTAAAACGCTACACATTTTGGCCAATAACCAGCGTGGGAACCGAACACTGCACACAAACTGCTACTGTCGACGCCCATGTGTTTGAACATTCTCAACATTCACATTCCTCCTCTACCGTCGTCTCCGTCTTTCAGCGTCAACGTTCCTTCAGTCACTCATTTATTTCCTTATTGACCTCATACAGTGTTTTCCTGAGAGGCGGGGAATGTTATTTACACCTGCCTGAGTGAATAGACAGTGTATTAAGGCTACGGCCCTATTCACAGTGGAAATTTCATTACTGTAGCTTCTATTTCAGTCATCAATTATTAAAACAATTCAGTTTAATCAAGTGACCCTGTGGACACTATTACAGTGTTGAGTCACAGTTTAAACCGTGCTGTGCTGGAATGTCAGCTGCTCTAAAGATACACGACGTATTTATAAATATCTGTTTTACATTTCAGCAAATACCAGCAAACATTTTTATATAATTGTAAATTAAATATTTCATATTTAAAAACTCTGTCTTAGATCTGAAGCTTTGGGATTGTTTTTAAGGGGTTCTTTTAGCTGAACTGCTTGAGAGGGGAAAATGTGAGGATTATAATAAAATGTTTTGTTTGTGTACATTCCCACAACTGTAGTTTTCAATGGTACAGTTGCAGACTCTTGGCTTGGTTACATGATGGAATCTGACATGTTTCTGGTTGAAGGCTATACTGCTTAAACCAATACACAGTGCTGCTGGGGCATAGCCAATCAGGGCACAGACACACAGGGAGAGTAAGCCCTTTGTTTGGAGTCCTTGGGCCCAGTAGCAGTGTCTCTGTGAAGACTGCTGTGGGCTCCACAGTCTG